GTTTGGTTTTTGGAAAAATTATTAATATGTACTTAACTTGTAAAGCAAAATATATACAGCAAAATCAATGTTGGTGGTAAATATAAAATACAATTTTTAATACTGTAGTTATTTGTGGGCAAATTGTTTATGTTTTATACATATATGCACGGTAGGATTGAATTCATATAACACACTGTTATACGAGGGTTGATCATAAAGTTCTCATAATATCTTTCTAATTTCTTTATTTTTAAATATATTCTAATGAAATTTTCACAGAATGTGCAGCATAGAATGTCTTATGAATTCAGCAAAAAAATATTTAGTTTAACAGAAATATTAGATAAGAAATGGTTGCCATAGTAACCGGAAATCAAGGCACCCGGGGCAAATAAAAGTAATTGAGAGAATGAGCTTAATTAACCATGTTTACATACATAATAAACTCTCATGAATTACCAAACACGTTAAAATGTTCCCTTGAATACATGTTGTTAAGTGCTTTTACTTTTAAAAAATTGATCATCTAGATTGTGTGATGTCATAGGGGATGCTTTCATGCTTCATTAGATGTGATACCAGAGTCTGAGACTCAAAGCTAATGATCAGAAATGACTGAGTAAGAGAATACAATAGATCTTCAGAAAAATAAAATTCATACTGATAAAATGTAATGTTAAGTTTGTAAGATCCTTTGGTCGGACTAAACATGATCTAAAACAAATATATTGCTCAGATATCAGCAAAGTTACACTCTGTGTGTGGTCTGTACATGTTAAAAACGATCTAAAGGGGCAAAATCAATTTTCCTCAGGATATTTGACAAAACAGTCATGGGGTCTAGCAGTCACTTCTAATGAAGCATAACAATCGTACATTATGAGATCACACAATTCACATGACCATTATAATAGTTCACAACAGCCAGGAGCACATATTATTTGACAATTTAATGTGTTTGATAGCTTATTTGACAACATATTATGTACTTAAACATGGTTAATGGGGGCTATTCTAGCTAGTTTTTTTTATTTGCCCCGGGTGCCTTGATTTCAAGTTACTATGGCAACCATTTCTTATTTAATGTTTCTGTTATTCTAAATATTTTTGCTGGATTAATAAAAAATTCTATGCTGCACATTCTGTGAAAATTTCATTGGAAAATATTGAAAAATAAAAAAGATAGAGAGATATTATGAGAACTTTATGATCAACCCTCGTATATAACATGCATGCGAAATCATATTTGCATACAAGAACAGTAAGGTACATTATTTCAATCAATTGTAATTTCAACTTAGTCAAAGGGGAACAGTTTTCACCACTCCGAGCACTAATATTTAAGCCAAGACTGTCAAAAAGCTACTCCCATGGGCGAAAACCCCTCCCCTTGGTAAAAGCTGGTCACGGGCAAGGAACACTATTTTAAGGCACCAATGGTGTTATGCTTACACAGGTTTAACTGTAATTTGGTTTAGAGTTAAATGGAATTGCACCTTTAATTAAACATTCCATTGTGACAAAAATACATCAAAACAGCCCGTATGTTCTTAACCACTGTTTTATCTTGCCTTACTTCGAATGAAGTGATTTTAACAGTTTTGTGACACATACAGCTCCTCATCGTACTATATTCTAGTGTCAATTTTAAAATTCATCATGGGGTCGAGTCAAGGCATCACCAAAGTCTGTAGCTTGACTGCCAACAAAGAGATCATATTTGTTCATGATTTCCTGTTTTGAGAGCTTTTTGTCCTGGAAAAGATGAAATGTTAACATGAATTTAGTGGAGATGTCTTGTTATTAGTATATGAGGGGACGTGATGGGATAACACTACAGTGTTCACGAAACAAAGCTTGTGTGTTCACTATGCACAGCTTATGTGTTCACTATGGAAAGCTTATATATGTTCACTATACAAAGCTTATGTGTTCACTATGCACAGCTTATGTGTTCACTATGGAAAGCTTATGTGTTCACTATGCAAAGCTTATGTGTTCACTATGCAAAGCTTATGTGTTCACTATACAAAGTTTATGTGTTCACTATACACTATACCATCAGCTTTATGTCACTTTATATGAGACTGCTGAAAATTAGTACACAGCCGAATTATCTCTTCCATGTCATGACTTTTTCTAAAAGCTGTAGCAGTTCTCATTTTATTTCAGGATAATCCTTCAATTTTTAAGGTTATCTAGTAAAAGATTTTAAAGTGGACGTCCTCTTTTTCAATTCTGACAAATTTCTTCTATTTTTCAGAAATTACAATTAGGATAATAAGGGGAACGTGGATGCTTTTTGAAACGATCTCTTCCAACAGTTTACACACTCTGATCTGTGACTCTATTCCTTCTACTGTAATGGCTTAATAATAATTTCTGTACGGTACGTGAACACCCCCCCCCTTCCCCAATTTTTCCTGGCCCTTTCTGCAAGTAAGTCTACACGATTTATTAAAGATGAAATACTGAACGAGACCCTTCCTTTTGATGTACATACCCTGTCACTGTCAGCATGATCAAATAGATGAGCCACTTCACCCTGTATGTGATCATAATCGTCAGGCATTATCCAGGCCTTGACCTCTGCTAAATCTAAGAACCCATTTTTGTCCTTATCACGCTCTTCTCTGAATGACACTCTCTCTTGGGCTACCCAGTCTGGTTCATCGGCGCCTTCGCCTCCTTCAACGTGGGAGTACATGTCACCTAGTAGAGTTAGTATAGGGATAAGTTAACTTTCACATATTGATTTATTGTATTTTCCCAAATAAGGTTCTTGGCTCTTGAATTAAAGTGAGGCCTAAATATTTGTTATTCCTCATGAAAATTACCAATACTTTAAAAATACCATCAGTAAATTGTCCAGTGGGAGTTTATTAGAAAACTTTCCTTGAGAAAATTTACTTGCAATAAATAAATCATATTCCAACAGGGCCAGCTTTTTCATTTTTGTTTTTGTTTCACCCAGACCTAATGAAAATTCATTTTGAATCAACTAAGGGCTATAAAAATACATTTTTGAGAAAATCTGGTAGTTTGCATTTTAAAAGTGACAATATACCATATTTTAATACCATGTAAAGGCAGGCCAGTATAAAAATATATATTATATACAGTCGCTGGGCTAACAATGGATTTCTACTTGGGTAAGTGGAGAAAACTTTTACATTTTGAAAACAAACACAATCATATCTTTATGATAAACTATTTATTTTATTTTAAAATGTTACGATTCTTTTACGATACACTATTCAGTTCAACCAATAAAGATTAAAGAGAAAAAAGGATTTCAAAACTTTATAAAATGCTTTTTATAATATAACATGATAACTGATCAAGAATAGTATACACATGTTAATTTTCAATTAAACATAGAATGGCTCCAATTGAACCCTGAAACTTCTTCCAATTTCAATCTAAGACTAGTTCTACACTATATCTACTATCTACAATTCAGCACTATAATTTAGCACAACCAAAAGCTTAGCACTACATTGTAGCACAACAAATGGCACAGCACTATAATGTAGCAAAACCAAAAGCTCAGCACTATATGATTAATGGCTACAATTTACCTAAATATATAAATGATTTAAACATGGGACCTGATAAAACTGTTTAATGATAACATTATCAGCAGGTACTATACCATAGTATAGGGTGTCCAATAAGTCTCTTAACACTTTAAGAGATTTTGTATTATAATTGTAAGAAACTTTATGAACACCCTGTATTATCTATGATAAGTCTAAGTACTAAGTTTGTTGAATAATTGGTGATATCTGGTGAGATAAAATAATTTATAATATTTCTGTAACTTGCATATAAAACGTTCTACCCAACAATACAATGTACATGTACACAAAACTACTATTCAAGACAAGACTAGACTTATTGCTTATTTGTTCAAATAAAGTTTCAACATTAGTAAGTAAACATTCAACTTTCCCAAACATCAAGAATGCTTAAACTTGGCATTTTCTTGGCAAATTAATTCCCAAATGTGGATTTCTAATTTGGATACAAACTAATTTCAACTCCATCTATTTCAGTCATCTTGAAAAAATCTAGTCCAATTCATAATTTTTAGAATTACAAAATCTCAATTTGGTTAATATCATGAACTATTGCTTGCCTTTTGTCATTCTGATTCCTCGTAAAACCAAGATAGGCCAGTTCAAAATATCTGACTAGATATTTTTAAAACACATCTTATCACTAGTAAATGTGTGGTTTTAAAGCCGATAATGGATTTTTCAATTCTCAGTATTTTCAATTTACGGAACACAAGACATTAACTCACAAAATACATGCAAAATAACACAAAAAATATGGATCTAATCTGATACTTGGAGGGCTTGTTCAGTTTTTCAGATTAAGTACATATTATATGCAGCAAAAGCAATATTCGGTAGTACATACATAATACTGAAAAATATATATTAATTTTATGTCTACACTATTTGTATTACTTAATATTGTGAATTTGTACGTTTTAGCTCATACATATAAATTGCATTTATAGTTTAAATATTCAGATGATAACGGTTCTGAATAATATGTACATTTCCAAAACCCTGCCTTGAGTAAATAATTTCAGTACCTTAATGAAGAATGATATTATGTCAATTTAAAATACTTTTTGATATGAGAATTCTTAAAATATTTTATGTATACAATTTATACAACATGTATTATTCTGCATATGTATTTTCAATCACACTTAGCTGCTTTTAGGCCACAGTGTTTAATTCTCCGATTCAAACAGTTTAAATATTGATGTATGAAACAAAACAAATCACAAGGCCTACATTGTATTGGACACACTGAATCAAAATGATGATTTCCAGTACATTGTACTAATAAATACATGTTATTGATTTTAATTTAATGCACTATAACCACATGCATGTATTACTTGATCTATTGTACAATAGGAATCATTAAGCATTAGATAAGTACATATCTTTTTTTCATTAAATATTCCTAATTTAACCATTTAAAGCTCATTATATGTTTAACGTCGAATTTTCAGAGATACGAATCACCAATACAAATCACGATTGAAAATTGTGATCTACGACCATATTATAGTGACGGAGGTTTCTGGATTGAAAATTACATGTATTTCAATTTCCTGATTCTTTTCATGAAAAAGTTTATGCAAAATCAAGGATTGTATCATTTTATGAGTCATCTTTTTATGATCTATTACATTTGGTATTGTATAACATAATACAAATCCCAATAAGAAAAATTATAAAGATTCTTTCACCCTCTGAATATTTTGGCCCACAACAGGACGTTGAACATATAATCAACTTTAAATGGCCTTCATTCACTAGGATTTGTTCACTAATTCTACGTGTATAGCACCTCTCTGGTTAATATCCTCATTTTATAATTTAAAGTTGCTCTTAATACTCAGGTCCTATTGATATTGTTTGTGTTCTTAAAACCACTGTTTTGTCATGACTTAGGTTAATTTTTCTTTCAACAGTTGTGTGTTTCTATTTGTCTTTTGGCATCTACGGCTGTAAATTAGACTCTAGTGTCACTTTCCAAGTTAAAATTCATCGTGACGAGTCAAGGCTTCCCCAAAGTCTGTAGCTTGACTGCCGACAAAGACATCATATTTGTCTAAAATTTCCTCCTTTGTGAGTTTACCATCCTGGAATAGAGAATTCAAATGCTGTTATTTACTTGGAAATGTTATGTATCAACTCAATTTAAAATCTCATAACAAATTTGAAATTATTTACATTTTTTGGTATGATACTTAAGGATGTTCCCTGGTCAGATAGGAAAATATTCAATAGTATTTAACTTTTTCTCAAAAATGGTTTTCTGGGATTCTCACGGGCAACAAAGAATATTAAAACTTTAAAAACCATATGTTAGTGTGCTTTTTTCTGAGCAAGAGGCCTCTAAAGTGTCAATATTTGACAAAAGTGGGCGTGGCACTTTCTCATTGAAACCCATGTTAAAAATCAGGTTTTCACCCCAAAACACACTTTTGAATATTTAACTTTTTCTTAAACTCACAGAAACACTTAGTTATGCTATGTACTTCACATTTTTAAAAGAAAAATTAGGGGTTGGTGTTCATCGTTTTCAACTTCGTCCAGGGAACATCCTTAAAGGCTATACATAAATATTCAATTGAATTCAAATAACTTACATGTACACATATAAAGCATACACATTAAAATACATCTTATCTACATTAACTTACATACCACTTTATTATTCAACACATAATAACCCTTAACCAACACTTAATTTATTACATATACATGTCAAAGAAGACTGGTGGTACTTAAACATAAGTAGTATCTCATTTCTTTTTCTCATTATACAGGAAATAAATTTTCCAGAGCTGCAGACATACCGCATCTTCGTCAGATTCAGCGATGAGATGTCTAGCCTCAGCCTCAGAGTGGTCATAATCTGGGGGAATGATCCACTCTTTCACTTCGTCATGGTCCATATGACCATCCTTATCCTTATCACGGAAGCTTGTGAACTGTTCTCGTTCTGTTTTTACCCATTCTGGCTCTTCTTCATCCTCCCTGTTTGGCCACATATCACCTAGCAACAGCCAATCAGATTCAAGCTTATATAACCATAAACCAATCACAAGAAAGCTTACATATAGGTTTATAACATATAAAATGCCCATCACCATGGTTTCAACACCCCAAATCCTCAGAATCCCTACAAGAATATCATAACTTTTATTAGGGACAAAAATAAGAAAAGTGGAACATGAAGTATACCTACAAAATATATATAGAACTGAATGACAATATATATTCTCAAGCATTTGTTTATATACAATGAGAATTGGATAACTTTAAGAAAATGTTTCACTAAAATCACTCACTTTTGACAAATATTTCATCTTTTCTAAAAATATATATTGCCTTCATGTTCCAAAGTGGAGGACAACATTTAGGACCAGCATCCACCAATACAACTTCTACAATATTTTGGGAGATTTCATCACCTTCAGGAGACAACATTCATGGGGACCCTTCTTCCTGGTGTACATATCTGTACCTACCCCATCTTTATCAGCGCTGTCAATAAGATGTGTAACTTCGCCCATGATATGATCATAATCATCAGGCATTATCCAGTTTTTGACCTCTTCAAAATCTAGCAATCCATCCTTATTCTTATCATGGTCTTCTTTGAAGGCCTCTCTCTCTGATTCTACCCAGTCTGGTTCCTCAGTCCCTTCCTTGCTTGGATGCATGTCACCTAGTAGTGTTATTGTAGGGACAGTTTTGACATTGATTCTATATATTTTACAGTGAACATCATTCTGATGTTATCAATTGTGAAGAGGTACAAGTACATCACCTTATCATTTGTATTGAATAAACCTAAGCAGTTGGTACATTTCTACATCATTTATGTTACTCAGCATGCAAACATCATCAAAGAAAATGTGCAGCAGATACCTATCGCATTCTTCAATGGAACACAAAAAGAGACATGATACGCACATGGACATGACATGCACCAGTAATAAAAAAAACTGCAGCCAATTGGCCAAAACTATTGGCAATCTTCACTTCTCTTCTTCACAAGGCCCAAGGGTGTGATGTACATTGTTTATATGATTAGAAGCCAATAGAGAAATAAGAAAAGCGAATGAGTAGAGAGGAGAAAAAGTTCATGATGCAATTCACTATAGAAACAGACAAAACACCTTTAAGTTCATGATGTAAATATCCCCTTTTCCTATCTTACATCTATTCTTGAACCATAAAATATACGCAAGTTCTCTCAATGATGGACATACAGTAAGAAGTGTGTAACAGTGAATAGAGTATGAAAAGAACACCAGGATTAAATGGTATACTTTAGAAAGTATATGGGCTCTTGCGCCCAGTTATGTAGTGAAGAATCAAGCATGGTGAATAAATTTTGAAAATTAAAAAAAATGTGTAATCCCCAATGTAATCACCAGGCTTTATTCTAATGAAAGCAAGAGGCAGAAATAACCAAGAATTCATATATGAACCTATCCCCATGGTTCTTAGGTTCATCTTTACATGGAGATAATTTCATCTCTGAATTCTGGGTTAATCTATCCAAAATGTTAATTTTCAAAGATTTGAATAGCCCATTGTTTTCATGCCTTTTCTCACTTTATAAGGCAAATGAATTTCCAGGAAGAGGAAATTTTTTTTCAAATTCCGAGAATCCGAGTGAGAGTGAGCGCAGTTGGCTCAATGCTAGAGTATTCCTTCACGTAAAGAAAAGTATTTTTGACAACAGTTGGGTCAAACTGGAAATTGAATAGAGTTTTATGATGCATTTTATCCCCTAGAACTCCAGTTCAAATGACTTGCTATAAGAAGTACATTTCAGTTAATTCATGCCATTAAGATATACCCATGCATATATTTTATTTCATATCTTTTCATTAAACGCATACAAATATTACATAGAGCAAGAGTTGACAGACAAAAAGTGCCAATATGCCCATCATAGCTATAATAGAGAATCAGACAAAAACTGGTAAAATTTGAAAAATCTAGATAGTTTCAAAGAGGTAGTTCCATTCTTGCAATCTCTACTGAGAATATATAAGTCACCTTACAGAATAAAGAATTACAACTTCGTAAAAGTATGAAGAAGAATCAATACATGAACAATGTGTTATTAGTACATCCTTTTTCTATGCTACAAATCATCCAACCTGATCAAATTATAAACACCATATATGTACATATTGCATTAATATTTTAATAATAAGTTTGTCTCGAAAATGTACAATTTGAGACTTTATTATCAGTAACACAATAAAACACCTAATTCTAATTAGTTAGTGAAAGAGGTTGACAATTTACCTAGTCTCATTCTGACTACTAACAGGATGATCGTTAATGTGTACCCAGGCCCATAGCCAAGGAGTCCTTTCAAAATAATGCAGTTTTCACGTTTCTAAGCATTTTTCATGTGATTTTGGGCCAAATTTGTCAAGGTGAACCCCCCTGAAGTTTTTCTGAAAAGTGAACCCATGCCCTTGGTAAAAGCTGGCTATGGGCCTGGTACCAATTCAATTGACAGCTAAGTAAATTGTATTTTCTCTTCTAAACCCTTCAATTGGTTTCATTTATAACTGAGGTATATAATATATCCTGTCCACCTCTGGTGAGGTCAACAATTGTATACTGCAGTGTCGCTTGTATAATAAATGCGTACTTACCTATATATTCTGCTAAGCTAATTTTTCCATCTTTATCTTTGTCAATATCTTCTATGGTTTCCTGGGAATAGAAGAAACAAATGTTTAATTTTTGAAAAAATGTTAAACATAAATAAATCTTAAACAAAGTGTCCTGTATGTGTAGTGAGGGAAATGGTTCACAAGAGACTGAGTCAGTTTGGTAAAAATTAAAATGAATGAATTTATATTAAGTGTTCAGATTTGAGTTAATTTCTTAAAGCAAATAAAATTATGGACAATTTTTGGTTGCAACTATAATACTGTTATAGTCTTTTAAAATCTCCTGGTAGCAAGACTAATAAGATCTGAGATTACTTTTCTTTTTTAATTTTTGTTATAAAAAGAGATGCATACCTCAACAACAATATCTCTCATGTGTGGTGCTTCTTCTGGGTGCAAGAAATCAGCAAATTCCTCCTGGTCTAAAGCTCCATCACCATTTTTGTCAGCCCTCTCAAATCGTCGCTCATCTCTTTTGATCATATCTTTATAATTGTAAGATTCACTGTCTTCTTCTGCATTCATGTCTTGGTCTAGAATTGATTAGAAAGTTCATAGTGAATGACATTGTATATTGATATTGTGTTGAATTGGTTGTCTACATTTTTGGTTGATTCATATAAGTATGGAGTCTTACACCTGTTGATGTTTGTACAGTAACATTGTCCAATTGTAATCCTAAGATACAAAGCCTTTGTGCATGGGCATTAACTTTAATTAAAGAAATCACATCAAAGGCGGTATATTGAAAGGAGTGATATGTGACAAGTAGTCATAAAAGCATTTAGTCACAATTGAACTAATTCCTTGCTTCGGTTGCATATACAGTAAAACCTGTCTCATCCTAACACCACTCAGACCAGGCAAAAGTGTTCAGATTGACAGGTGCTCATATTTCAAGGATTTTTTATACATGAGTCAATGATAGCGTATAAAATTGGAACTAAAAAACTTCACATTAAGAGGTGTTCAGATTAGAGAGGTGTTCATATATATACAGGTTCCACTGCACTAGCAATCACAAAGATGCTTTGTAATTACTCTGACAGTGAGCTCCTGTAGCAGATATTATGAGTTGTTGAATGATTTGAAGCGCAATACAGGTAATCTCCTCGAGAAATTCCGTATTGGAACGAGACAAAGTAAAGTGCCATACAGAATATCGAGACATCTAATATATCCTGTATTGCACTTCAAATCATTCTATAACGTTTTTATTGTGTGATCCTCTGTATTGAGAATGTCCCCTCCGTACCAATATTTTCTGTATTGCGACAGAGATGATCAATGGGGACAATCTCAGTAGCAATACAGATTGGTACGGCACAAGAACTGACCAATTAGAAGGCTTCATTTTACAGATCATACGATAATAGCCTAAATAGCACAAATTAATTGGGTACTAATTGCAATATACAGTTTTTCATCATTTTAACTACTGACAATTTGAAGTCCTGGTACTCATGAGTCCTGAGACATCATATTTAAAATCTGGAAATGAGCTTAATAACCATCTCCAAAGTCTGGGTTTTTCGCAGTTAATTGACCAACCAACTCGCGTCACAAATAGAAGCCAATCCTGCATTGATCTTCTTATTACTAATCAACCAAATCTTATATCCTCTTCAAATGTTACACCTCCAATCGGAAATACTGACCACAGCACTCTAGTCTGTACCTCATTTATTGGTACAGTAAAGGAACTGCCATACATTTGGTCATATTCCGAGGCTGATGTTCAAAATATCAACGACTCAATTAGAAATTCAAAACTTGATCAACTTATTGAAAATTCATATGATATGGACATGTTATGTGATCAATTTACTAACCAACTCTACCAAATATTTACTAATACCATTCCAAATAAACTTATAAAGGTCCGGAGCAATGATAAACCATGGTTCAAGCCTCACATTAAAACACTAATTAATAAACGGAATCGTCTACATTTCAAATACCGCCACAACAACAATCAAGAACGCTATCAAAAGTACATTGACCAGTGTGATATTGTTAACGAGGAAATAACAAAGGCCAAACTTGAGTATGAATCACACATGTATGAGAAATTAAACTCCCTTAAATATGGCAGCAAGTCTTACTGGTCGGTCATATCTAAACTTTTATTCAAAACTAAAGTTGTTAGGATTCCTATTTTGACCAACCAAAACGGCTCTTCTATACTCACCAGCACAGAAAAGGCTAATTTATTTCTTGACCATTTCATCAAAAATTTTCATTCTGATCATAACATAGATACAGACAGTGTTCAATTTGACCTTAGAACTGATTCTTTTTTAAATATCCTTTCAACAAATGACAGAGAGATTTATGAAATTCTTTTATCACTCGATGTTAGCAAAGCTTTAGGTCCTGACAAACTAAGTAATAAAATGCTCAAGTTAGCAGCCCCATCTTTATCAAAATTATTTTCAAAATTTCTCAATAAGATGTTTGAAATGAGAAAATTTCCTAATTCCTGGAAACTAGGGAATATTATCCCATGCCATAAAAAAAGTGACAAAAATCTTGTTTCTAATTACCGTCCAATAACTCTATTAAGCTGCCTTTCAAAGGTAGCCGAGAGAGTTATTTTTAAAAGGATGTTTGACCATTTGCTAACAAACAATCTTCTATTTAATTTTCAAAGTGGATTTCTCCCAGGTCACAGTACACAACACCAACTACTAAGTATTCTTGATTTTTTAACTTCTAATATGGATAATGGTAATGATGTTCGTGCAGTCTTTCTTGATATATCGGCCGCCTTCGATACTTTACCCCATAAGCTATTATTTAAGAAGCTACATGCATACGGTTTTGGTCCAAATATAATGCTACTTATTGAATCTTATCTTACCAATCGAAAAGTAAGAGTGCTTATTGACGGTCACGAGTCTCCATGGTCAGCCAGCGACTATATCAATTCGGGAGTTCCCCAGGGGTCCATCTTAGGACCTCTGCTATTCTTAGTTTACATAAACGATTTACCTGATGATATTTTAAGCAAGTGTTTTCTGTATGCAGATGACACTTCTCTTTATCAGCCCTTCAGCCATGATAATATGCCTGAATGTATAAACACCCTCCAATCTGATCTAAATTCTATAAACAATTGGTCTGATAAATGGCAATTAAAATTCAAACCCTCTAAAAGTGATGATCTGACATTTAGTAGTCCAAAAAAGAATGAAATAATAACCCCTGACCTAAAATTGGGAACTGAATCCATACCTAGGTGTGCTTCGCATAAACACCTTGGCTTTATCCTTGACTCTAAATTATCTTTCAATTTCCACATTACTCATCTTGCAAAGAAAATTGATAAGCTTTTAAATCTACTTAAAGCATTAAGTAAAAAACTTAGTGGAAACCATCTAAATCTTATGTTCAAATCTTTTATCTTACCACATTTTGATTTCTGCGACATCCTCTATGGATGTGCAGATATTTCCAAATTAAAACGCATTGACCAACTCTACTACAAGGCAGCTCTGATTTGTAGTGGAACTATTCATGGGTCATCTTCTGAAAAGGTGCTCAATATTCTAAATTGGCCTAAACTAGAGATGAGGAGGAAGTTTCATCGACTAACCCTCATGTTCAATGTCCAAAATCAGAAAGTTCCTTCATATGTTCAAAACATATTTGATAAATATAAGAGACAACAACCTCCTCTCTATTTGAGAAATCCAACTGAATTTGTCTTGCCCGCTAAAAGATCTGTGATATTAAAGAAAACATGCATTTTTACTGCTATCTCAGAATGGAACAAACTACCCCAACAACTCCAAGAGATAGACAATTTAGGTACTTTCAAATCTAAATTGACACTTCTCATTTATCCAGAACCTATCATATCATCTACCTCATTGCATTTACCTAGACCAGAGGAAATCAGTCTTAATAGGACTAGAGTCGACTTGATTTTTCAATCTCATTTTCATGCCCACAACTTTACTCTAGCTGATACACCAAAATGTAAGTGTGGATTCAAAAGTGAAACATCCAAGCATGTCATCTTTAACTGCAGACTCCGTAGGACCCTCCTAACTGACTTCGAAATTAAACTAAATAACCTTGAAATCCAATATAAAAAGAATTTTAAGACCCAACAAGAGAAATTGAATTTCTTTCTTTTTGGCAGCTCAAAACTTAACTACGCTACAAACATAACTGTTCTTGAAACTAGTGCCTCTTTTCTCCAGAAGTGTGTAAGTGTCTGAGTGTTAGCAGCAATTATCAAACCTTCTATGCTTAATTTATTCACCAATTTGCTTCACCAATTCGATTGTTTTTTGAAATAAAATTTTATAATTAACCCTGCGACTTATAATGTTAAACAAAGTCGCCTTTTTGGAAATTTTCTTTTTACATATATTATTGTATTAAATAAAACATGATAAATTAAAAAAAAAAAAAAAAAAAAAAAAAAAAAAAAAAAAAAAAAAATATTTAAAACACTAGAAATACACTGCTAGACGTACTAGCGAGGTTATTTCTTGTGTTACGTTCCACCAACTAAAACTTTTTTCAGAAACTGATAGCAAGCACCTTATGCTCAATTTAAACCCAAAAGTCCAGTATGCACAGAATAGAACCTTCCCCCTTGCAGAACAGCAACATATATTACACATAACACACTAACATAAACAGATAATATGATCCCTTTCTCTTCCACTGTACCCCTACGAATAATTTTTACCATAACCAGACTTAAACCACAAGAATACATTGAGATATTTTCTATCTCATACAAAAAGACACTTCCTACACGGAGACACCTTCTACATGAAGACATCTACACAGAGACACATCATACACAGAAGCACCTCATAACCAGAGACACCTCATAAACAGAGACACCTCATGTAGAAAACCCTCCTATATAGATACACCACTCAGTCCATAAAGATTATATAAGGAGAGAACTCATGTGTAGAGATACCTCCTAAATAGTGGTACCTCCCACATCGACAATAGACATGTACTTAAAACATTACCATAGTTCAGCTTATTTTCCCACCTTAGCCCAATTTTCTGGCATTAACGTTTTGAGTTTTAACTACATGTCTGTCAACTACACGTCTCTCTTCATTGTATCACAACATTTATTTTGCTTAAGAAAACCTCAAGTCCCATGCCTATAACACATTTTCATTACTCTCTTCAATCGGATCATCATCCTTCCTAACATATGTGCCTTTGTATTTAGCCCATTCATCTCCATAATTATTCTCCATGTAAATGTCCTTGGTTATTAGAGTCTCTGTTCTTCCCTCCATCATGCCCTTCCACTCTTCTCTGGTATTTATCATATCAGACATACGTGACACATGCCTAATCCACGCATCTAACTCGCTTACATTGACAAATCCATCAGAATCTTTGTCTATTTTATTTGTTATGATATCACTGCAATGAAGTGAGTAATAATATAAGGTGAGAAAATGAAGATTTTAAAGTTGTTTAAGCAAGACAGGACATCTGGAAGCCAAATTTACAAGCATTGTATGATCATGTAAAATATTTTGGAGAATACATGTATTATAATACATAGAAGACAGAAAGCAAACAGTTGAGCCTTCAATGACCCGCTTGCTCTTAGCAAAGTGACTGTACAATTCTACTTCAAAGAGAGAACAAACTGACAGCTCATTTTACAACGTATTAGACAAGAAGACATTAAATATTTCTAGCTAGATGCCATTCCTCAGCATACAGTTATACCACTGGGACAGATTGAAGAACCCCATCACATCCAATTATATACAACAATGCACTGTCATTTAACCAGCCCTGTTACAAATATATACAGTTTTTAAGTCAGACATATAGTACAGCAACACAACACTCAAATAAAATGCAAATATATTTCAGAGGTGCATTTCTTTTAATGTTTCAAGAGGCATATGCTAATTCTAGCTAGACATCCCGAAAAATCACCAAAACAACAGCAAAAGCCTTACCATCTAAGAAGCCATAAGTTCTCTTTTTGTAAGCTTCCCAGACAAGCTTATTATCGGCAAGTTCACTTTGAAGCTCTTTCCACTGTTTATCTGCATCATTTTGAATGTAGCGATTTTGAACATATTTGATCCAGACTTTCAGTTCATCTTCTGTGACGAGGCCATCATTATCTTTATCAATCTTTTCTACAATTTTGCTGCAATGTGATTTACAACATTCAATAGACCGGTTTTAAGTAGATATGTATAGAAACAGAAACATGTCAATTAGGGGTACCACAAGAAATGATATACAATAGTGATGCATCATTGCTCCCATCATTTGAAGCACCTTGTGAGAGTTGTATAGGTACCGATGATCCATGTATTGTGATACCCCTAATGTCAACTTATGCTTATAAAATGTCCTGTTGGCCTTTTTTGTTTCAAAAATAATATTTCTAGTGTCTTTTCTTCTAGTTTTATGTGTACTTGAGCATGTCATTTCTTTATTTTTGAAATTTCTAAGACTTCCATATTTTGGATATGACTTTCAAGACATTTCATATTCATAACCATCCTTTCCTTCATAAAATGCCCACATTTATATAGTTACATACATGTACATTTATTTTTAAGTTAAACGAACACTAAACGAGCAGTTTCAGAATTCCACCACCTTAAAACCTCAAGAAACCACAAATACACACAAAGAGAATATGTACATGGACATGTTTCATAAGTTTTTTCAATTGTTATATATCTGTCAGCAATTGATTTACCTCAGAGATCTACAAAATATTTGTACCGTAGTTTTGAGAGAAAATAGAAGAAAACCTTGAACCAATTTCTTTAATCTCCAATTTCACCTACCCAAGTCTCATTTTGCTCTCTTCTGGTGTGAGTTCATCAAATGATTTTGCTTCCTCCTTCCCAAGGAATGCTTCATGATCATAGTCTGGGTTGTGTTCATCATCTGGATTGTGTTCTACATCACTGAGATCCTATATAAGATAACAATACATGTATACATGTATATTATGACATGTATATTTTGATAACATATAATTCATTAACCTTTTGCAGGATAGCTTAGGGATGCATGAAGGATATAAGTAAATATTGTAAAATTTTTCAGGCACACAACTTCTACAATTTTATTTTTATCTTATTTTATTTGAGATTTAAAATTTTTAAAAACACAGTTCAATGAATCAATATTGATCATTTTATCACTGGCATTTTGATACAAATCTTGTTTATTTGAGATTTAAATTTTAAAAATACACTTCATTATAAAATATTGATTCTAAAAAATACCCTGATGCGTCATTGTGAATTTGCAACTTTTAAAAAAATTAAGAATCATTAAATGGGGAATTACCATATGTTTTAATACTTTGGTGAAATAATTTTGATTTTAGAAATCCCACCCTTGTAATAAATACGAACTAGACCATTACACTGCATTATATGCAAAATTGGTATCTTAGCAGAATATGGCCATCATTATTGAAAGCTGTAATTCTAAAGGATACTGATGAGGGGCAACAAGGCCCACAGAGAGAAAATTTGATTTTTTTTACTCTGGGCTATCAGGTCAACATCAGGCTTAACATTAACCAAACCCATCTGGCCCAGTAATCTTCTCCCGATTCTGAATTGTCGTAGATCTAGGGCCAGACAAGGTCCAATGCAAAAAAGGGGGTATTTACTCCGGAAAAAACATGTCGCTGAATCATCACTTATTATTCATTCCCTATTAGCCATCCAACCAAAACATCAGGTACCATGTAAACCCAAGTATTTATTTGAAATAAAGAGAACATAACTTATGCGTAAATGTGGTGTTTTGTTTGTTATATTGATGTTGAAATGGGCACAACATTTCGTCAATATTTCGTCAGTTCTCCGCACCGAATAAAGTCACGTGATGTGACGTAACACGAGTGTGACGCGATAATTTTTAAACTTTCATGGAACGAAAATACATTTCCCGGGAATCAATACATTCCAAGTATTACGATTTGTTCAGCAGATTTGTTATCAAAACGTAGATTACTTTATAAAACAGACGTGTCTGTGTTGTATTTAAACTGGAAAGAAATATGGTGGACATTAAATACGATTTTTCAATTTGTTGAACTGACGGAATGTAGTACTGAACGAAATAAGCAGCCGAGACTTCTCGATATTTTACGAGATCACGAACAGATTGCAGAAGAATTTTTCTTTTTGCTGCGTTTAGACGTTTCGTTCTTATTTATTAGCCGTCATCCAGCGATGGAAACCTAATATAAATACAAAGTTTGATACAAGGAACAAACACGTAAGTGATTTTTATGATGTTTATTCATTTATCAGCACGTATTATACATTGAAAAACCAGTGTGTTCTTTCCGGAGTAAATACCCCATTTTTTGCATTGGATCGAGTCTGGCCCAGATCTACGACTCAGGAGTAGATAACTGGGCCAGACGGGTTTGGTTAGCTTAACATCTTCTTTGACATACCTATTTTCTTAAAATGTATGGATAACTATCAATTTCAGCATTAAGAAGTGTAAAATAAGTTCAAAGTTTCTATAAAGGGAGTCCCACTTATAGATTTTTAAGATCCACCAGGGGGTTTCTTTATAGATTATAATAAAAATTATGTAGCATCCAAATTAAACCCCCAGTGGCTACAGGCATGTTAAACATAATAAGGGTTTTATTTTTTATATCATTAATTATTAAATCATGAGCTTTCAAAAAATGCCATGCATGAAGCAGCAAATGACAGTAATAGTAATAATGACTTTTTTGCACTAATCATTTTAAATCCACGTAGCTATAATCAATTGGCTGCTTCGGTTGAAAACACACATCATCAAACCAGAAACATTCATCATTAATAACTGTTTATTCAGTGGTTTATTTCAGTTTGCTATTATCATTTAATTATGTATACTAACTACTAAATCAAACCATACATATTTCAACGTATAAACCATTGTTAAAATTATCATGCATTTATCAGACAAAAAAAATGAAATGAAGTTGCAAATTAATAACGAAAATGTATTGGATCTGTATATTCTTCCTTTTTTATGGAAGTCTTATTTCAATAAAATATTCTGTTCACTACACCAGATAATCTTTATGCCTTAATGTTGCCATTTTCAGGATTTTCACTGGGATTACAAAGTTATAACCATTAAGCATTTTCTCCAAATATAACAACATCTAAGTGTAAGGTAAGCTGTGACAACCCTATTATGACATCACGCCTCCCATGCTTGGCTTTAGGAAATATATCTCACTAATAAAATCATACATTTATGTTCTTACATCCTTCTTCAAAGGACTTCATTTATGCTTATGGAAAAAAGTGAAATATCCTTGGACCAAGGATGACGTTCTTACCTTATTCAATACTCTGTCTTTATGTTCATCTGGTTTTGGAATAGCTGATGAGAAGGAGGTAGAAACACAAAGCAAGACTAGGCACCCGACATACACCTTCATTGTGTTAGTTTGGGAGAACATCTAGTATGATCTACAAAAGCCAACAAACTAGTATTAAATAACATAACTTGTGCAATGTATGAATGAAAATGAGGGAGGCTTGAGTGAAATGTTTTGAAACATGCTGAATCGCCATACTCTGACTCCATACCCCAGGGTCCATACCCTAAATTGCTGAAGTGAGAATCCAATAGAATAAATTCACTTTGAACTAGTATCATGATGTTGAAATAAGAATTTGTAGCTTATAAAATGTTATCAAACATACTGAACCCGGTCTCTTATACCTTATGTTATTGAACCTGTTATAGACCTAATCTCGATATATACCCCCCCCCCCCCAATTATACCAATTAGCACAAATGTACTCAATGAACATGTGTTATTTGACCTCTGTGCCAGATTTAGGGAATATAATCAAAAGTGAAGTGATAGTACTATGAAAGGTAACCTCTCACTATAACAACCTCAATGTGCAGCCACAAATATCAACAATTTCCTGTTTCAAGGAAATTCCAATAATTCCACTGTCATAAATTTTTTTTTCATAATCACATTAATGGAATCCAGTTTTAAGTAGACTTAAATATCAATATATTATTTGCAGAGAATTTTGACAGATGCCCTGATCAAAGCTATGAAGATGGCTTTAATAAAGCTCCTAAAAATGATGAAAATATGAACTTCATCATTCTACGGGCAAGAAAACGGAGTCCTTAGCATCATGTTTCTGGAAGTCCTCTAAAATGAATTTGGACAAAAACCTGTTAATTGAACGTTTTGTTTTTATATTGCTTCATTAAAAAATTCTATTCATTATTTTCATCAAAGTTCCTTTCAATCAATTACTGCTTTAAGACCTGCTAACGAATATTTATATGATCAACTGATAAAGTAAACAGAGAATATGCTAATGCACATGCCCGACCAACCTATATTTATTATGCTTGAACTGGAGGTGTGAAAACTGAGAGCTTATAAATAATTTATAAAGATAAGTAAATGGGAAACAGGGTATCTATGGTATCCTTATGAGTGGAATTCTATACTATGTGTATCCGTAAAATCCACCAAGATAAAATGTGTTGTCAGTGTTCTCAGTTCTGAGATACTGCTGGTGAGGTGTAGGTGGTGTCACAATGCCCGAAGCCATAAAAGGTTCAAAGCAATGTTAAGACATTAACTAAATTTAATGGCTTTTAATTTTGGCATAAATACATTATCTATTGATTTGCCTTGAACAAAGATAGATATTTGGCTATGATGGCTTAATAATGAATTCTTCCATCCAAACCTGCAAATCTTGCCTTGAGGGGTGGGGGAGGCGAGGGCCAAATGATTTCCTAAGATGTGAGACATTTAATCAGATATGTGAAGTAGAGAAATTGTGATGAAATAATAAACTGGGAATAGCATAATCATTTCATGAGCAACATGCTAAAATTAACTGGATTTTAAAGACAGTCTAACAAACGAGCGCCAAGATGCATCTAAAATAAAAAAGATCCAGGTCATGCTGACATACTTTCTCCTGAACCCTAGTCTTATTTTCAGCGTTATCCCCTGCTGGTGTTTCAGAATCATTATCGCTGTCATTTTTTTCCTCTGAGATTGGGACAACAGCAGAGTGCATGGGATGAACACTCAGCAACCAGCATATCAAAATAACTTGCCACCTCCTCATAATTTCTTGCAGTTGTCTTATCAGTTTCGATAAAGTAAACCTAAAATGTACCTACAACAGATATATTATTGATTTCCCATGTAGTTCAGGTCTTTTTCGATCAGGAGATAATTTGTCATGTATGACATTTACCATTACGTCATTCGGGCATAATTCTACTTCAAAGTGAACAGCTGGTATTTGCTCAAAATGTTCAACAATATTCAGAGGAGTAAAGTTTTAGTTATTGAAAAGCAATGTACAACCCAAACAAAATAGGAAATTAATGGCTTAGAACATTCTGATACTCATAGCATCTTTCTGTTTCACCAAAAACAGCTCAGGGCTGAGAAAGAAATGAGATGTCATGGTTTATCATGATGGGCTTAGAGGGTCACCTAAATTTGAGTTATTTTTATAGCTTTAATGCTCATCAGAATCATAAATTTTCAGGAGAAGATCTTGCCATCTTGGCTAATCTGCAATTCATTCATACAGTTTATCTGTACAAACAGTTGAATCGTTTGCGTAAGTCGCTTTGTTTGAATATATGCCAATATACAACCATTGCAGTCAGAAAATGCAAGTGATCAAATTTACAAATGAAACTGCAAATATATATCCATACTAATATTCGTACATCGAGGACAATATTGACAAAGAAGATAATTGTTGGACAAATACGCAGCTGTGCAGAGTGGCCAGTATACATGTATATACATATGTTCTTTACCTCTTGTATGAGCCAGTAAAAATGTAAGCCTATGAAGTAGGCAATCAAAGGGCCACAGTATAATATGATGGGCATAGCCCGGGGGGCTTAGCTTTGCTCGCAGTGATGCAAACCCCAAATTACGCACCCTCCTTGCCCCTCCTTGACAATGCCTGACTACACCCCTGAATATCCTGTATATTATAAATTCTGTATAACGTGCTCGGTTGAGACCAATAATGCCAAATGCCTAATAGGCTACATGTAGGTCCATCAGCCATTATTCATTGAAGTATAGACTAAGCATGGGCATTCAATAGAATTGAGAGAGTGTAAGAAATCAACTTTGCAAAAGTCAGTCATAATGCATAACCCTAATGCCTATATAATATCAACAAAAGAAATTTACAAATAAATCGTGATAAAATAAAACCCTGAAAATGAAAAAATGTATATCAAAACTACAAAATGAAATTGAAAATCATGCAAATAAAATTTTTTGGGAAAAAATTGATTTGACAAATTTGCATTTCAGTTGAAAAATAGCATAAACTAACCTTTGAGCGACTTATTTCGTGATTCCTTTGATGCCTTGAATATTGGCATATGCAACTGCAAGCTCGATTTTAATCAATACTCTTCTGATGACGAGATATTCAGAATATACAGATGAAAACACATCAAACTTACCTGCAACGTGGACCGAAATATAATCTGCCAGTGATCATCCAATAAGAATCCTGATTTTAGCCCACGTGTCTTTTGTTGGCCAATCACATTTTGCAAACGTGGAAATGTGCCAACTTGGCATTTCATAGCCTTCTTTGTTGGACACTGTGCAAAGTCTCATATAATGTGATTAATTTAGATCCAATTGAAAAGACTACAACTATATTTTAGTCTAGTGTAAAATAATATCAGGCACATTCCCGGGTTTATTTCTAGAATAATCAACTATTCTGTCAGCATCAGAGACAATCCCCAGTGTTGTTAACTGTTTTTTCATAGGCTATTACCTCTTGATAAGATTATGTTAACACTTTTTCTATTTACTGCACCCACTCACTGGTGGGTTTTTGATAATTTGGCCCCTATAAGACACAGTCGAAGAGAATGTTCTGGCAAAAGGAGATTGGGATTCTAAGTTAGAATAAGTTAGAAGAACTTAAGAGGCCTAAAAGGCCAAATTATGCCCAAAAAAGGCATATTTTGTGAGGGCCTACAAATTTTTGGGGCCCCAACATTTTTTCTGGGCCCACAAAAGGAGGGGGGGGGGGGTCCCATGGCCCCCCTGGATCCGCCAGTTAGGGGGCGAATGGGGGGGGGGGCAAATTGGGCCTAAAATAAAATGTTGACCCAAGAATTCTTTAGGGCCTTTTTGGGCATTTCTGGGCCTTGTTTGTTTTTGGTTTGCCCCCCCCCCCCCCCCCCTTGTTAGCTTCCAGATTCACCCCTGATTCAAAGGCTAGGTAGCACAGGCCCAGCTTATATTTCAAAATCTGTCTCTGATCTGTATCCGAATAGCACTGTGAATAGTGAATAGACAAAAAAATAGGCCCACAACATGTATAATTAATGCAAAAGTTTGTTCATTTGGAGACTGATTCTCCCTTTTACTTCAATTCTGTATTAACATTCCCAGGCCTATGGATGATCAAGTTGGTAGTAACTTCTGAAAGTGTCACACAATATTATTTTTGCTATCATTCCATGTTATGCCTTCTTTCTAAAAAGTCCAACAGTTCTGACTTCATTTGAGGATAATCCTTAGATTTTAAGGTCATCTGGCAAAAAATTGAAAAGGTATATCCTCATTTCTTTTTCGTAAAAATTCAAAAATTGGAATGATTTTTGAAGATTGCTTTCACAATTTTACAATTCAGCAAACAGCTACCATCTGAATATGGGTGTATGTACCCTCAGAGTTTTTATGTTTGATTTGGTGTTTTGAAAAGAGCTTCATCTGTTAGTGTATACGCAATTACAGCTATATTCTCAAATTATTAGTATTCTAAAATGCCCAAAACCTTTGAGTGGCATGGGCACTAAATCAGGATTTGGTGCCTGGAAGGTCAATGTCACATTTATAGAAGTCTACTGTAAGTAAAAAATATATAAGTTTATAATTAATATATGAATGTTACTATATTTTCTAAGTTCTAAAATGACCCACAAATGGCAGAAAATAATCAAAAACGACCACAGAGTACTTAATGTTAAGTTCCCATTTATTTGTTCAACATATATTTTAACAGCATACACAAAATAACATGTACTGAACTTTCTATTGGTACATCTACAATATATTTTAACTTGAAAGTCGCTTTAATGTTTACAATGTTTGGATTGTCTTAGAAAATGCCTCCATAACTATCTAATATTGCCAAGATTTTATTGATAAATATGGATCGAGGACACATGAACATTCACAATCTGACTCATACTATGGGCTTCCTTGAGAAAGCACAATTCACATGTACAACGTATTATTGAATAATGCTATTCAGACTTAAATATGTTAATATAATATGAATACTTTATACATATGAAGAAAAAGGCTCCATGTTTAGTAAAAAGGCTACATGTAGATAAAACACACATTGACTCTACCAGCTAAATTTTGAAGAAGTCAAATTCGTCCTGAGAATAACATATAACAAGGCATTAACATGACAAAATGTCACCACCTAGTTGCTAACAATATTATATGAGTTCAACCTAAGTAAGATTTGAATTTCTGAGAACTTGTAGATGATTTTAAAAAATAAATTGGTCACTTTAAAGCAAGTTGAAAAAATACCTTTTTTGACCCTGAGAAAGTCATTGAAGGTGAAATCTCAAATCTAAAGTTAGATTTGAACTTCTAAGAACTAGAAGATGATTTCGAAAAAAATTGGTCAATTTGGAGCAAGGTGAAAAATACTTTTTTGACCTTGAGAAGGTCATTGAAGGGCAATCTTTTTAACCTTGGGAATGACAAATCTGAAGTCAGATCTGATAATTTTGAAAAATTGGTCAATTTGAAGCAAGTTGAAAAAATACATTTTTGACCTTTTTTACCTTGAGAAGGTCATTGAAGGTCAAATCTTAAATTTAAAGTCATATTTGAACTTCTGATAACTTGCAATGATTTTGAAAAAATTGGTCAATATGAAGCAAGTTGAAAAAAGACCTTTTTTGACCTTAAAAAGGTCATTGAAGGTCAAATCTTGAATATAAAGTCAGATTTGAACTTCTGATAAAATTTGTAGATGATTTTGAAAGTAATTGAAGTCAGTCTAAATAGTATTTGTTAAGTTATAGGAAGTTGTAAGAATTTGTTACAGATGCCGATCGCCAACCGCCAACCACCAACAGCCGTCAAATAGATCATTACAATATGTCACCACTTTTTGGTGGTGACATAAAAATTACAACATCATATTGGAACCAATGTATTATCATGCAAAATGTTACCACCTGCCATTTTATTACAGATGCCAAAACCAAATGCTGAACAGTTAGACTATAACAATATGTCACAACACCACTTCTGGTGATGGCATAAAACGGCACATGTCTTACTTGGCTAACATAATGCAGTGCTACATACAATATATTACATGTCCTTAACTACAAAGGAAAGATTAAACAAGAATTATATGCTTGAGTTGTAAAAAACAGTCTTGGCATACAGAGCTCAATTGATTGACTGGTTTGCACCAAAAACTTCACAATATTCAAAAGAATCACAGCTTTTGAGTTGGATAGAAATCAGTAAGACACTCTCATTGTTGTGAGAGATTTAAATTATACCAAATTAGACCAAACCAGTTAATCTCTTGTACCAAACCAGTCAAGTTTTGCCAGCTCAGTATATCAAGGGTGATTTTAATAGCATTTGAATATAGTTGGCCAAAATGCTACAAAATATTTTCAACAAATTAGGAAATTCCACACAAATAACCTGATCCCTAAATATAGGTCCATTTCAGAATTCTTTATTAATGTAATGTAAACCAAGTCACAACATTTAAAAGCATCACAACATTGATAATATGTATCTGTAATCTAAATGAATACATTTTAATCATAATGCTTGTACATATAATTAATTATAACATATTTTGCATTTGCATGGACATAAATGTAAATTGCAAAGTTAAATGTCTCCCAAGCAAAAGTTTGGAGAGACAGAGAGGGAGAAAAAAGGAAAGGTATACCAGGTATACAATAGGTAGATATATATAGGCTATGTATACCAGTGCAGGTATTATTTTTAACCACTATAGATCAATTTCTGAATACATAAACTCCACATTAATTAATAAATAAACTGTATTATCCTACACTTAGTGTACTAAATATATAATAACATTAAAAAATAAATTTGATATTTATTGGCAAAATGAATATCCGGAGGATATCGTAACGATATACTCCGGGCGGAGGATATCGTGACGATATACTCCGGAAACCCCAATATGCGGAGGATATTGTGACGATATACTCCGCTTGTTGATTTCCCGCCAAATTGACTCTATTTGGCATGGAATTCATTTTGCAATGATATTATGCATTTAGTACACTCCTTGTAAGTGTAGGATAATAAGAACATCCTATGATTTTTTCAGAATATCATTTTAATCTACTCGGTGATATTGATATATGCACTCGTTCGCTTCGCTCTCTCGTGCAGATATCAATCACCTCGTAGATAAAAATGATATTCCTCAAAATCATAGGATATCCTATAAATATTCAATGATTACTAAATATATAACTCTAATGATTATTGAATACATAATACTACATGAAAAATACCAATATATAATACCAATACCTAATGATTAGGGAGCATTTCAAAAGATAGATGTCCAAAAATTAACTGTATTTGAACAGCAAGGTCATTCGCCTTAAATGTTAGCTTTCCAACATCGTTAATTACCGTTATTATTGTAAAAATTACAAAAATGACTGTATTACATTGAAATGATGCATATCAACATTTCTCAAAGACAGTTATGAGGGGGAGGGGGGGATTTGACGGATTAACTGTTCAAATACAGTAAGTAATCCTACATCAAACTTTTGAGATACTTCCTTACTGAAATGAATTGGATATATACAAAAAGTAGAAGAATCCAAGATCTAAATAACACATGCATGTAAAAAAAATTTATCTTCAGGTTTGAAACATTTATTGCCTTCTCAGAGATAAATTTTTCACTACAAACAAGCGCTTTCACAATTTTGTTGCATTGTATAATCACTATAATCCTTCAAATTCCCGCATCTCTTTTACGTTAATTGAGCTTCTTAAGACTGGCTTCTGCAGATTTCTTAAGAAATGTTTTGTGACAAGCAAGTATCCTTGACAGGCTAACTTTGTGTTGTGTAGTCAACTGAAATAAACAAGTAAATAAAACTAAATACGTGTTCAGACACTGCATGTGAACTTTTTTAGAAGTTTCAGATATAAAAATCCATTTGATAAGCAAGTTGTTGAAAGCTCAGATAAAATGATACTAATAAATCAGGCTTGTAGCTAAGAATATTATATTAACTCATTATATCTGATCCTGTTTGTTAAAACCAGTTTTCAAATTTCACATGTTTGTTTCACGAAAAACATACCTTATGAGAAAACTTCTGTATGATTGCAAGGGTAAGTTTGCCAAATTTTTTACTGTCCGCCATATTGAATGCTGACCTCTCCATACACGTTAGAGAGCCATTTAACAGCACCTCTGACAACTCAGTCTGAAATATATGGATACAAACATTATGCTTATGTATTCCAAAGTAAACAAGGTATATGCATTTTATCGTGAAATATGGGTCATCACTGCAGTTACGGATTCTGTATTAGTGTTAGTCAACTTTAATTTAATCCAGGTTTCAGGAGGTATTTCTTATTTAGAGATAATAAAGTTAAACAAACGTTTGCATCAAGTATAGACTGCAGACACAAGATGACTGATTCTGTCCAGATAGATCCTGCACAGATCAATGTCTCCAATAGCAACTGTCTCTGTGACGATGACAACATCTCCTTAGTCACCTTGCAGAAAAGCTCAGTTTGAAAACTATCTGGAAATTACACATGAAACTTCCAATTATAGACTACAGTCCAATTTATTTTTAAAAAAAACTCAGTTTTACAATGCCATTTGAATTACTAGCTTAGTTTACCAAATGATCAAGGTAAATATAACATTGATCAGACTGCTAATTCATATAATTGAAGAATCCTTTACCAAGCCTGGGAATTATACACTTCTGTTACTCATCTCAGCCACAACCCAAGCTGGTAAAGCTGTATTACATATTGCATGAGAATGAAAACTATAATACAATAATTGCAACTTGAAAAGAACAATTCTAACATGATATGTGGCATCACAATAGCAAAAACAAGGCACAGACGTGAACAATATCGTACCTAAAACACAGCATTGTGGTCTTGTTGACCAAGAAAGCAAGATGGCCGCAGAAAAGTTAATCAGCTCTAGAACTTATCACTGTGTAACATATGTAAAAATTTGAACAGTTTGGCTGGAAACCTGTAGACAAGTCTTGAAAGTGAAGATTTTAGGACGGAAAATCCAAAATGGCCACCTTAAAATTTACCCAGAATGCCCAAAAACCAATCAGTTCTTGACGTTGATATGTAGAAACATCCCTGAAAATTTCAGATGAATCCCTCAAATGGTTTGGCTGAAAATCTGTAGACAAGTCTTGAAAGTGAAGATTTTAGGACAGAAAATCCAAAAAATGGCCACCTTAAAATTTACCCAGAATGCCCAAAAACCAATCAGTTCTTTACGTTGATATGTAGAAACATCCCTGAAAATTTCAGATGAATCCCTCAAATGGTTTGGCTGAAAATCTGTAGACAAGTCTTGAAAGTGAAGATTTTAGGACAGAAAATCCAAAATGGCCACCTTAAAATTTAACCAGAATGCCCAAAAACTAATCAGTTCTTGACATTGATATGTAGAAACATCCCTGAAAATTTCAGATGAATCCCTCAAAAGGTTTGGCTGGAAACCTGTAGACAAGTCTTGAAAGTAAAGATTTTAGGATAGAAAATCCAAAATGGCCACCTTTAAATTTACCCAGAATGCCCAAAAACTAATCAGTTCTTGACGTTGATATGTAGAAACATCCCTGAAAATTTCAGATGAATCCCTCAAATGGTTTGGCTGAAAACCTGTAGACAAGTCTTGAAAGTGAAGATTTTAGGGCGGAAAATCCAAAAAGGCCACCCTTAAATTTACCCAGAATGCCCAAAAACTAATCAGTTCTTGACGTTGATATGTAGAAACATCCCTGAAAATTTCAGATGAATCCTTCAAATGGTTTGGCTGGAAACCTGTAGACAAGTCTTGAAAGTGAAGATTTTAGGACGGAAAATCCAAAATGGCCACCTTAAGATTTACCCAGACCGCCCAAAAACTAATCAGTTCTTGACGTTGATATGTAGGAACATCCCTGAAAATATCAGATGAATCCCTCAAATGGTTTGGCTGGAAACCTGTAGACAAGCTGAAAAGTGAGACGACGCCCGCCCGCTTGCCCGTCAAACTGACTACAATATCGTACCTTTTGTTAGGTACGATAACAATTGATTTACTGGTCTATATTGGAGTGTGTATGACCACTAAAATTCATTGCAAATAGTTGTCAGGCCCGTAGCCAGGGGGGGTTCGATGGGTTGGAGCGAACCCCCCCTGGCCAAAAATCTTTCAAAATCATGCAGTTTTTCACCATTCTGAGCACTTTTTAAGTGATTTGGGCCATTTTTGGACCAAAATTGTCACAAGTGAACCCCCCTGGGATATTTCAAAAAGTGATCCCCCCTTGGCAAATCCTGGCTATGGCCCTGGTTGATTTTTCTTGTCTGTTGATCATATTAAAATCGTAACAAAGACCTCGATTTATGATTTATGTCAAAAATATGACCTCAAATTTTATTCTGGCTATTGCCAAAGACCTCAATCGCTACGCAATTTTGGTCATTTAACAATGAACAGAATAAAAATTTTAGTCATATATTATGCCATAAATCATAAAATATCTGTCTTTTTTCCTTAATTAAATGCACATTTTTAACATACACTAAAAACATAGTACAGCAAATGAAAAAAGTCACTTACCTGCCTGATCTTGCGTGATGGAAGGCACAATGACTCCCTCTATCAGTGCCCGAGAGTACTTGTTGACAAATATGGCTATGGTATCAACGAGTATTCGAGAGGCACTCTGTGTCAGTTCTATCACCTAGAAAACAAAGTGCATATGGTGAATACAATATAATAGCTAATAAGATACACTGCTAGATAAGTCTTCATATTGAGAGAGATTCACAAAGCAATGATAACCATGTAGTCAATGGGGCACCAAATATTTAGTTCCAAACAATGTTTAAACTTCAAGAAGTTCTACTCAGAGAGGGATTAAGACACAGGTTTCACTGTATATACATGTACATGACTAGCCGTGATATTTTGAATTTACTTGTTTCATTTTTGCTTTGTTCACAGTTTTATTTTACTGAATCTTGTTTTATAGGAAATAAACAACTTACTTTGGGGAACACAGAACTTTGTAGAAATACAACACAATTATTGTGACTTATTTCTGGTGTGATGTCACAAACATGGCGACTTGCTGTCATGATCGCAGCTTCACTCAATGTGCGTAGCTCTAAATATTCACATAATTTAGACACCTTGAACAAAAGAAGTAAATGCTTTAATACTTTACACAAAATCTGTATTAATTTAATTAACTGTGGTCAATGTTAAGTCCAATAGTCGATATTAAAGTTAAGACAGGATGGATTTTTCCCAGTATTTCCATTTCCATTCGCATCATTTTCACATTGATAAGTATTTTTTAAGAGGACAACAATTTTCAATGAATTCTGCAAGAATTTTATTATTGGAAATTGTCTGATCGTTGAAGAAAGTTGAATAACTCGGTCATATTTCGCCTTGAAATTTTGGAATTATTTAGTTCATTCAATGTGAATTTTGTTCTGAAAGTTTGATGATAATCTGTTTATTGTGTCAAAAACTACAGTACTTTACAAAACATGCTCAAAGTGGGCACTTCTCTCTATGCACAAAAGAATCCTGCGAACAAAGTTGTTAATGACCCTGACCTATACACATTAATGTGGATGGCAAATATTGGGATAGTTATTGCCCTCTTAAGTTTGTTAGGGGCCTGTACACATTGGCTTTGAGAAATCCTCAAAAATAAAAATTTGGGGGATTTAGATCTGGCGAATGAGCTGCCCATATGGTTTGCGTTCTGCAACTGATGAGCTGACCACCAAAGCATTGCCTAAACCATTTCAGCATATCATTTGCAGTGTTGGGGTGGTATTGGCTTGTTGAAACCACTGCTTATCTCCTAAGATGTCCCTTCTGGTGCTTAAGTGACCTCCAAAACTTAGTGAACAACTTACTGGCCCTTGTTCATGGTGATGGCACCTCCCCAGTCAACATGAGTCACCTTCGAACCAAAAAGGACTGATGATTCCATGTTTCCTCATTGACACCTAGGCAGTGCATTGTTCAGAATGCAATGGGTGCTGCAACACTTCATCAGGAGAATGTAAGCCCCAGTAGCAATTGTTCTTGGACCACACTTGTCCATTCAGAAAGACATGTGTGTAGGAGGATCATCAACGCCAGATTGAATTGTGCATTGAGAAGAGAGGTGCACATTTGGGGTATGTTTTGAAGGAGCTGTAGTTTTTTTTCAATTGGTAGATTATTATCAAACTTTCACAATTAAATTCACATTGATTGTACAATTTTAAATAATTCTGAAATTTCAAGGCAATATATGCAAAATTGACTGAGTTATTCAACTTTCTTACAGTCCTGTTTTTTTGGACACCCTGTAGTATATGTACATACTGACATACACTTTATTTTTAAATGATTTGTGATTCATCTTGGTATGTTATGTTACTTCCTGCTGGTAGAAAATATGCCCTCACTGAAAAATATAAATCCTATTAAGCACATTCTCAAAAATCAAATGATCATTATTGCACTGCTGCATTACCTGTTCATTATTGCACTGATTGAAGATGTTCACCTCAGGAGGGACATCATTATTTGAGGTAAAACTGCCAGTCCACACTTCCTTCAGTCTAGCTGCAGGACCCTGGAATTCAACATAACAAAGTCACATCAATGAAATGGTCTATAGAATCTGGGATTTTTGTTCATCCTAGATAATATCAATTCAGGATTCCCCACAACATTTTTTCAAGTTAGTGCAAAATTCTCAAAATTGGTCAAGATATGCCAATTTTCAAATATCCCCAATCCATAAATAAGATAAGAGGTTAAAAAATTGTACAATCAATAGATCAACATGTTCTATGAATAATTCTAAATAATATTTGTAATATACAAGTAAAAGTAATACGTACATCAAAACAAGGCAGTCTTAAATTTTATTTTAAAAAATCTAGAAATATCAAAACTCACCATCAAATACTCCGGAAGACCTTCTGATATTGGCAATGGCTGCGACATAAGATGATGGGTGATGGTGGATGGCTGGTGACTGATATTTGATGACTGATAAGTGATATTTGATGGCTGGTGAGTGATATCAGATAGCTGGCTAGAGATATTAGTAGATGGCTGGTGAGTGATATTCGTTGACTGGTGAATGATATTAGATGACTGATAAGTGATAGTTGATGGCTGGTGTATATTAGATGACTGGGGAGTGATATTAGATGACTGGTGAGTGATATTAGATGGCTGGTGAGTGATATTAGATGATAGATTAGTGACATTAGATGACTGGTGAATGATATTATATGTTTGGGCCACTGTCTCACTACTAGACATCAACGCTTCTGTAAATGGAAAATTAAAAAAAAATGTTACACAATTTTTAAATACAACATAATGTGTGAAACCATGGTGATTCACTCATTTTTACAAATCAAAAAAACTGCATTCAGGTATTTGTTTTCCATTCTCGGACAAATATTTTTTCTATTTCGGTAATTCAAATTAATCAGGTGAGAGATGGGGGAGATGGGTAAGGCTGGAAGTTTAAAGGAATTCATTTTATAATTTCTAGATATGTGGATAATATCCCCTAAAGGGGTTTTCCACTACATGTATAGAAAATTAGAAATAAAAAAAAAATATATTAATCTAACACTTATCTCATTATACAATTGTATATTGGACATGTACTTAAATCATATTAAATGAATGATATCTGAGGACAAGTTTTATGCAAATGCATTCCCTACATGCGCGACAAATTATACCAGTTACATGGTTACCTGTTTCACTGATCCTGCTCTTTTTCCTTGGGGTTTCCATAGAATCTTCTGCAATTTGTGTTGTTATTGGTGTGTTTATATCCATTGGTGCAAGATCACTCATGTTGGTTGCATTCATACCAATCATATCATCTTGTTTTCGAGAATCTGAAAACAATCAAATTTGAAATATTTCTGGACAAAATTCCAAATCATATTTTTTATTTTAAGTTGGAGAAAACACATACATGTACAATAACACATGGCAGAACAAATGGCCATGTCCTGGTATTCTTCTTTGAATAAAGATACTGCTATATCCACTTCACCATAAGATTTTAAGACAAAAAATAAAATAGTAATGTATGTATTGTCTTACCATTCTGTGAACTCACTCCCCAAATTGATGGATTTTTTTCTTGATTACTCCTAAACTTGTTCAACAATTTCTCAGCATAGTCTTTATTCTCCTCACTAAATATGTGATGTTTCGGCAGATGTATTATATCTATGTTGCCATTGTTTTTGTCATTTTCCACATTAGATTCAGGTTCAAAGTGATTTTTCATCCGCACAATAATCATTCTAATGATATCATCATGTATTTTCTGATTTTGGAGTTTTGATATGAGAATTTTTGTTTCATTCAGAGGTAATTCATCTTTGTGACGATAGACAAATGTTAAAATATGTCTTTGTAGTTGAATAGAAAACTTCCTAATTCTCGGAATACTGAAAATAAAATGTTTTAAAAACATGTAACTGTGAGAAATCTGTTTTTGAAAATCTTTTTGAAATTATAACACAGTATTAGATTTAAAAAAAATAGGCAACCACTTAAATTCTTATTTTTAGCAATTTTGTGAAATTTAGAATTTTACATCCATGAAAAATAGAATTCTGGGGAAAACACTGCAAGTCCCCAGTAGTCAGGTTTATTTCGCGTATTTACTCACAAATCTGAGGTCAGTATGTCACCATTTAGTAAATTTAATTAAGATAGCATATGTATTTGTGAATCTAGACTAGAGTGTAGTGAAAATTTAAACATATTTTATTAACATTCTGTTTTAGATCAAATTCTGTTGTGAGCGTTCAACTACAATATTTTCAAATATACTCACTGTATTACAGAGCGATCTGGATTTATATATGGTTCATCCTCTGACAGAGCAATAATAAAAGATGCCCAATGCCCAATACCACCATACTGCGTAGATGTCATTTCATTATGCCAAACTTCAACTGTATTTATTGCTTGGTCCTCTGATGCCAATACACCAAAGATGCTTTGCCATTCTTTCGGAAATCTGCTAATAAGCGGCCTGTACATACTGACCATCTGTAACTACCTATAATAAATAAATATAATTAGACTTTGGAAATTGAACAAGTTCAATTTCAGACTCCAGATTAAGACCTTTTTTAGCCGAGTCATCCAGAATAAGCCGAGTCATCCAGAATAAGCTGAGTCATCCAAAAAAGGATGGATGAATAAAATAGGAAGGTAGGATAGGATAGAATAGGAAGGAACGATAGGATAGAATAAGAAAGAAGGATAGGATAGAATAAGAAGAAAAGATATGATAGGATAGGAAGGAAAAGATACGAAGGAAGGATAGATAGGAAGGATAGGATAGGATCAGATAGGAAGTATGGATGAATTTTTCAATATTTTCTTCTCTACTCTTGACTTTCTATCAGGATACCATCAGATCAATTTCAAAACGCCATAACTTCCAAACCGGCAGTCAGATCCAAATTTGGTTTGCAGATTCGGATTCCTGACTTCTTATTTTGACCTACTTTTTGGACACGCCATAACTTCCGAACCGGTAGTCGGATCGAAATTTGAATTGCAGATTCGGATTCCTGACAAAATTCTACACCTAATTCATAACTCATACGTTAAATTTGGAGATTTTTTTATTTTGACCTACTTTTCGGACACCATATCTCAAAAGTGGGTCAAAATACTTTCTGACGGCAAAAGGCTAACACTATTAGCACACTCTTGGCTACATGTATACACAATTTCGAAGAATATAATTGAAGTGAAGTGTCAGAAACGCAAAAATAAGGAAAACCTTTGAATTTGACCTAGATTTTGACCTCTAGGCATTTTGGTGTCCAAATTTTGAAACTAACTGGCTTTTGAGGTCCCCTTCTTTTGAAGGCTTTCATTAAATTAAGCTGAACTCAGTCTATATTTCGTATTTCTCACTTCAAAAAAATCTTTTCCCATGGGCACCAAATTTAGCGATTTTTGAGCTTTTAAAACGCCATAACTTCCGAACCGGAAGTCGGATCGAAATTTGGTTTGCAGATTCGGATTTCTGAAAAAATTCTACCCCTAATTGATAACTCATACCTTGAATTTGGAGAACTTTTTATTTTGAAGGTTGAAAATGTAAGATTTGACCCAGTTCTAGGATAGGATAGAATATAGAATAGGAAGGAAGGATAGGATAGGAAGGAAAGGATAGAAAGGAAGGATAGATAGGAAGGATAGATAGGAAGGATATGATCAGACAGGATAGGAAGGAAGGATGGATGATTTTTTTCTATATTTTCTTCGCTACTCTTGACTTTCTATAAGGATATCATCAGATCGATTTTTCTCGAAATTTCAAAACGCCATAACTTTCGAACCGGAAGTTGGATCGAAATTTGGTTTGCAGATTCGGATTTCTGAGTAAATTCTACCCTTAATCCATAACTCAGATGTTAAATTTGGAGAACTCGTTATTTTGACCTACTTTCTGGACGCCATATTTCAAAATCGGTAAGCGTAATCAAAAATCTAATGTCATATCTTTGCTTTGGCTTTTTCTAAGCTACAAGATGAATAAAGATTTAGGAGTTACAATGAACAACGACGAAGATAAATGACAGAATGTTGAAAATGTAAGATTTGACCTAGTTCTTGACCTTTGACCTAGATAAAAATTTGACCCAATTTCCGAGAAACTAGATCTAGGACCTAAATGGACCATATATAAGACTTGACTCAATATCTTCTAGTTAACGAGAAAACTGGGAAAGAATAATAAGAATAAAGAATAAGAATAAAGAATACTGACGAAAACAATAGACTCCAGATTTAAGTAATCACAATCAGAGGCCTGTAGCCAGCTTTTGCCAAGGGGGGTCACTCTTTTAATAAATTCAAGGAGAGTTCACTTTTGGAAATTTTGGTCTGAGAGTGTTTAAAATCACTTAAAAGTGAAGAATAGTGAAAAACTGCATGATTGTAAAAGTTTTTTTGGCTGGGCCTGGGGGGGGGGGGGTTGTTGAACCCATCTAACCCTCTGGCTACAGACCTGCAAACAATGTGTGTCATGATTGAATGTTGCACTACATTATGCTGATCACGAGTTATATTTTCAGTAATGAAACAACAATACTACACAGTTAGTAACCAGTGTTGAAGTCAGCTTAAAAACCAAATCAAAATGTAATGAAATGCCAAAATGGACTTTATAAGACATTGCATCAAAAAAGAGAATAGTGATTGCTGTTCCTGTTTTCAAATGACTGTAGTGATAAAGACAAGCTTCGTAACATCTAGACGTTTTTAAGCCCAGTCATACAGAATAAGCCGAATCATCCAAAATAAGCTGAGTCATCAAAAATAAGCTGAGTCATCCAGAAAAAGATTGATGGGTGGATTGAATAGGAAGGAAGAATAGGATAGAATAGGAAGGAAAAATAGGATAGAATAGGAAAGAAGGATAGGATAGGATAAGAAAGAAGGATAAGATAGGTTATGAAGGATAGGAAGGAAATGATGAGAAGGAAGGATAGATAGAAGGGATAGGAAAGAATAGGAAGGAATGATAGGATAGAATAGGAAAGAAGGATACGATAGGATAGAATAGGAAGAATAGGATAAGAAGGAAGGGTAGATATGAAGGATAGGATCAAACAGGATAGGAAGGAAGGACGGGTGCATTTTTCAATATTTTCTTCGCTACTCTTGACTCTCTATCAGGATACCATCAGATCGATTTTTCCCGAAATTTCAAAATGCCACAACTTTCGAACCGGAAATCGAATCGAAATTTGGTTTGCAGATTCGGATTCCTGGGGAAATTCTACCCTTAATTCTTAACTCATACGTTCAATTTGGAGAACTTTTTATTTTGACCTACATTTCGGACACCATATCTCAAAAGTGGGTCAAAATACTTTCTGAAGGCAAAAGGCTAATACTATTAGCACATTCTTGGCTACATGTATACAAAATTTCGAAGAATATAATTAAAGTGTAGTGTCAGAATCGCAAAAATAAGGAAAAACTTTGAATTTGACCTAGATTTTGACCTAGGCCCTGGACTGGATTTAGACCTCGACTTGACTTGGACCCGGACCAACACTGGACTTGGACCCGGACTGGACCTGGAAATGGACTGGACTGGTATTTTTTTTAATTTTTTTCACTTTTCTTGACTTTCTATAAGGGTACCAACAGATCGATTTTTCTCGAACTTCAAAACGTCATAACTCTTGAACCGGAAGTCGGACTTCAATTCGGTCTTCAGATTCGGAATCCTGAGAAAATTTGCTATAAGGCTAATACCCTGGACATTGAATTCGGGGAACTTTTCTTCGGACCTCGTTTTTGGACACTGATATCTCGAAATCGGTTCAAGATATCATAAACTAAATGACACACTCTATCCTACTTTTTTATGAGGAACACAATGAAAAAAACCGAATCGAAATTATTGAAGGACGACTGAGAAAATCGAAAAAAGTGACAAAGTACTGGATTTGACTTAGTTCTTGACCTTTGACCTAGAATAAAAAATTGACCCAATTTCCCACCAACTAAATACTGAACCTAAATGAACTGTATAATGGTCTTTAGTCTTTACTGGATACCTTATAGTTATAGAAAAAACGCCTGAAGAATAATAAAGAAGAATAAGAAGAAGAAGAATACTGGCAAAAACAATAGACTCCAGACATCTGGAGTCTAATAAAATGTCATGTTCAATTGTCAATGACTACAATGTACAAGTGAAAATTTAAGCACATGACATTTGAACATTTATCTCCAGACACTATGACACACTTATATAAGGCTCTAGTTAGGCCAAGACTAAAATATGCTGTGACATTTTGGTTACCCTACCAGATGAATGACATTGAAATCAAAGAAAATGTGTAGAAATGGGCTACTAAAATTATACTAGGATTCAATAAACTGGAGTAACCAGACAGATTAAGAAAACTGAAAATGACTACTCTGGGTCAAAAAAGAAAATGAGGAGACATGATTGAGACATATAAACTTATGAATGGGCAATACAATTTATCAGCAGATAAGTTATTAAACAGAGCTGATGATATTGGAAGAATAAGATGTTACAGGACACTGTATGAAGTTGGCAAAACACCACCCGAGGACAGTCAAGAGAATGAAGTTCTTTACACAGAGAGTTGTAAACCCATGGAATAGTCTGCCAAAGAATGTAATTGACTCCGAAAATGTAATACAAAATATACCTTGACAAGCACTGGGAAAACCACCCAACATGACTATAAGCACCAAGAGGCCCTCTAATGATGTTCAGTAACACCAATATCTATGAAAGGGTCATAAGGTACCCTTACCCCATGTAAATTTACACCCCCTCCCAACCCTCAAGGTGCACTCTCTCAGCTTTGAATGTCAACAGGCATAATTGCCTTCACCTAAAAAAGTCATTAAGGTACAGCTGGAAAATAACATTTTGGTAAAAAATTGCTATACCTGCCCATGTTATTTTCTGGTACACTATAAAGTATGAAGGCATGTGTTAATTTCCTTGCTTTTTCAGGAAAGTATCATTACATTCTCTTCTTTTAGTATATCCGGTAAGAGGTCAATGGGAACTCCAGGAAATTCTGATATTTCCCACTTTCTATTTTTCCAAATTTTCTTTCAGTTTCCAGACAACACAGGAGCTACATGTACCTAGTTCATATCCAATAGACTGAATTTCCAGAGAATTCAGTCTATTGATCATTATGTCCCTCCTGTGGGAAAAAACAGGAAATTTCCTGCACACAATTATCAATTTTAAGAAACTTCACTTCCCAGAAATAAGCATTATAACAATTCAGTTATGTAGTAAGGTACAATTAAATGCTACAAGAAATAACACAGCATATTGTCAAATGGAAATAAAGCTAGGGGAAGTAAGAAATATGCAAATTAATTTACCCAATCGGCCATTTTGAATGGCACTTCCTATGTAAACAAATAATTTTCAATCCCAAGTTTTAATATATGTGGGCTATAGTCTGAATATTTTCATTCCTAATTTCAAAAAAATATATCAGACTAGAGGATATAGTCTATACATGTACCATTGACCTGTTTCCAGGTTTACTAAAAGTAGACACTGTAATGATACTTTCCTGAAAAAAGTAAGGAAATATACACATGCCTTCATACTTATTTTGTACCAGAAAATAACATGTGCAGGTATAGCAAATGTTACTTTCCAGCTGAACCTTAGATTTTAAAATGACGGATTGTAAACAAAACTGGATTGGTATCAATTTGCCCTAAAACAGTTTTCAATGAGATATAGATACCAATGGGTCGATATCCAAGTATATAGAATTATTCAGTTCAATGATCAGATGAGAAATTTTATTGACCGTTGACCTGAAACGACAAAGAACATTTTCATTTTGAATAATAAATTAAATTTTTTTTGGGCGATAATAAATTATTTAATGGTTTTTCTGCGGACTCCGAATAACTTTCACTCTAAAACTTTCAGGTGAGACAGAACGATATGTTTTCTATCAGATTGGATAACATGAGTACCCAACACACCATAATTTACCTGTTATTATTCGTTAATTGATGCAACTTCGTATTTCCCGGATTTCTTTTTTTGTTTACGGAGTGAATATATTTTGACCCGCCCGATGAAGACCAAATAAGAAAGGAATAAGAAAACCTTCCAGCGTTCATATAACAATTTTATCTGAGCAAGAACACTTGAAAAAATACTACAAATCTAGTTGATTGTCATTGTATGCGCAATTATGCATTGGTAACATAATTATCCTTAAAATATCTTGTACTATAAAATTTACTTTGGGCGCTTCAAATCTGATGCAACCCAAAATTTCTGGATATGAATCAAATTCTATTTAAAGTTGATCAAAAATCTACATAGAACTACAAGTTTACCGCGAATTGAATATGGCTACTAAATCAACAGACTATAGCGAATATTTTGATATGATAGACTACTGTAAAGATCACAACAAAAACATGGGAACCCAGGACAGATTTTTGGCTCCAAAATCTTGGGAATGGACTTCAAATATTGAAATATTTCATAATGGGCCAAACACTACACAAACAATGTACCAAATGCTTTGTCATCACGACACTCTTCAAAATGCTAAATTGGAATTCATAGAGTAAAAGTTTACATCCATGTGTACCAATATGGAAGGTCATCAACTAGAAAGACCTAAAAGCAGTTCCAGATGGTTGAAAACATCAACTCCAAATCTACATGTATGTGACACTGGACATGTTCATCCTAAAAATATCCTACGACTCAATAGTACTGGAGAAATTTCATCAGATGACGACCTAAACCTTAAACAAAACAAATGTTATTGGGATAAGATGAAAGAAAAAGCCACTAATCTTACAAATATTGGGAAATTGGACATTCAGAATCTCCTTTTGGGATCAACACCAATTTCAAAACAATTTTGTGCAAAAGACCAGGAAGTTAGTAAAAGTGTAATGGATAAAATAAGACAATACCAAAACGAGTGTGTTTGTGATTCAGATGTGAGCCCCAAAGTTACATCATACAGAGATGCATTACATTTTGGAAATAAACGAAGTTTCTTACAAGGTTTAATGATGAACCGTAGTAAAATTCTTCATAATTTGGACTGTCTTCAAGGCCGCCAAAATACCATTAATAAATACCCAACATACAGTGAAGCATTAAGTGGTAAACATAAACAAGAAGGACAAGAGCCTATTAAATCAACTCTTAAATTAAATGAGGAGGAAGCAAAAGCTCCTTCAGGATTGGAGAACAGTGCAGTATCTAAGAATGACTTGCAATCGGTGCCTCGATATATACCTCCTTACAAGCGTAAAAATGTAGGAGGTTCTGGTAAAGAGAATGATAATTCTGTGCCTAATGAAAAATATATATCACCTAAGCCGAGGCCTCCTAGGAATTATACCCCAAGACAACATCGACCCCCAATATCTCAGACTGAGACACCCTCTAAAAGCAATACACCAAGACAGTACGCTAAAGAGAAGCATTATTCAAAAAGAGCAGATTTTTGTGAAAGGAATTATGAAGAAAATTGGCGTCAACCTCGACCTGTGAGACCTCCTTCTCAAAATAGAGATGGAAATAATGTTGAACATCAGAATTCAAAAACTCCAAATTCCAACATGGCTGATGTAAGATTTAATTATCAGATCAGGATTGGAACAAGTCCAAAATGTGATAAAAGTGTCCTGGCACATTGCCATTCACCTAGAACTGTTTCAAGTGATAATGTCGAAGATACGGAGAGAAGTCAAGGTACCCCGATGGCTGATGCTTTGGCATTTAGCCCCTGTAAGACTGACTTCACTGACATTTATGTATCTTTACATAAATCTGATCTTGTTGAACCAACATGTTCATCCAAAAGTGATACTGTTAAACCTCAACATGAAAATATACATGAGTGCAATACAAAAAAAGACAATATGGAGCATGAAAAAAGCCCATTTACTGATAGTGACAGCCATGGTGCTGCTAAATTTGCTCAAGATGATGACATTCCTGCTGTTTCTAAGTCACTGAGTTGTAGTTTGAACATAGCTGGACATATATCCACCGAGGGGTCTGATGATAAGAAGCATTTTAAAATTAGTGCAACAGTGACCCCTGTTAAGTCTAGTGTAACTGAAACCTCCCCCACTACCCAAAGTCTTACATCCCAAAGTGCTTTCTCCAAGAAGAAAAAGTCCAGACCATCTTTGAAGAAGCGTCAGCGCAGAAAGCGACAACAGGGTCTTGTGACCGAGCCTCTAAAATCAGAAGATGAACACATTGAACCTGTTGATCTTAAATCAAATGAAACCCCATTTTCTTCTCCACAACCAATTCCCCTATCACCCAAACATTATAAAACTATCCAGGCATTAATTGTTGAGAGTCCATGCAAAGAATCCATACAAGATGAAAATGAAGATGATGAAATGTACCAATCATCAAAGACTATGAACTCTGTTGCCTTTATCATTGGAGCCATGAGTGATTCCAGCCAATCAGAGACTGACTCTGAAAATGAGGATTCTGATTGGTCAGACTATGATCCAATCAGCAATGATGATCTCCTTCAAGAGTTTTCTATTCAAGAAGACCCCTTTGGTTTTCTTAATGTTCAGGTGACATGTGCTAAATCCTGTATCCCTGAATATGCCTCGGAGCCTGTACTCTCCCCCAGACAAAAGCTGGACTTGGTCAATTTACAGTGGGATGCGCAACACTCCAACTTACCTGATGTAACACAATCTTCCAAAAAACTAAGAAAAAAGGTATTCATAGCTATTTATCAAATATTAATGCATTGCATTTTAAGTATTAATATTATGATTATCTCACAACAAACATTTTTATTATGTTTTTGATTGAAGTCAATCATAAATTTTAAAGCCCCTTCCCGAAATATATCCATTCAAAAATATATACTGTAATGTAAATTGCTTTAATTTGACGAATTGATGACAATCACCAAATTCATTTTTCAGCAATTTTTTTAGAATAAATCCCTGGGGATTTCTGGGCTAAGATTAAGATTTGAAAAAAACACACTTAAATGCCACTTTCTTTGGGTAAACCCACCAAAATAAATAGCAGCCAAAATTTCACAATTTGCCCAATCCGCCAAATTAAATAGGGCCAAATTAAAACAACTTACAGTAATTGGATATCATGAGTTCTATTATGTAACTGAATTACTCCTAAAAATCTAATGAAAATAAAAAAGAATAGAACAAAACCTATTTAATTTAATGTGAAGCTGTAACTTTGCTCAAGTTAGTAAGTACCTTTATATCTGCTTTCAGGTTTCTTTTGCTGATGGAAAGAAAATTGCGACAACTTACCCAATGATAGCCTGGGATTATGCTTATAGGGCAGCTCGCAAAGCACCATGGGAAATGTATGCCAGAGACAGGTGCCGATTCAAGGATCGTGTTCGAAACATAGAAAGATCTATTGGTCACTGTGTTAATAGAGAACACCGAGATAAAATGTACGCAAGGCTTCATGCTGACTAATTGGATTGTGTTTTAACGGATAAACATATACACTGTGATAAACATGTTGCTTCCTGATGTCATATCATATACAATATGTGGATAAATGGAAGGACAGACGAATGCTCTTGACTTAAAATGTTAAAACTCTTAACTAAGTTAAAGCAGCGTGTATCTGGCATACACTCTTTAGTTTAGATTTTATAGAATATAGGACATGATTGGTTGAGCCATGTACATTGCATAGGCAGGGTGTCCTATGATTAGTGAGACTGTTGCCATCAAATGTGTATTGGTATCAGCAGAACTTGTTTATAACTGGTTCATCTATTTTGTTATTAATTGAGAAATACATTTTTGGAAGGGCATAATGATGCCATGAGAATTGCAAAGAGTGATATTACCTTATAAGACCTTGTTATGCGAAATGTTTAGTGGTTTGTTTGCTATTTCAGCAGTTCAACTGCTTCACTTATGCCTTGGTCAAATTTGCTCCGATTTTCACTACGGCGCCAGGCCGATAGAGTATTGAATTAAAATTGAATACAATATTGAACAAAACAAAGGGATGAAAATATTACAGAGAATTAAATCTTTCCATAAAAACATTACCTTGTCCAATCCTCAATACCTACCATTTGATGAGATATATCATAAATCTTTTTTTAGATCTTCTATTTCAAGTAGTAAAAAGAATTTCTGTTTTTTTCTTGTGGTGCCTTTAGTTGAAAGTTGCATTCGCATAACATATACTTGAGTCATGATTATCTTGTTTAAGAGTTGAATTTATGTATTACTGTATGTTGGTCCACTCTGTATATAAGTCAATTTTCAGTGGGTGGGTGTGTGGGTGGTTAAGAATAAGAATGTTAGAGGTTATTTTCTTTACAAAATAGTGTTTGAAAAAATTGCTTCACTTCCAAAAGCCTGTTAATTCAACAAGAGTTGGGGGGGGGGGGGGGCAGTTAAATTTTCATATTTTGTGCAGAATTAAGTGTGAAAGTTTCGAGATGACCCCTTATACACATACACATATTTAAACAAAGAATATTATTTGCTTTTTATTATGAATTTATATTTATGACACATTTTTTATGACAAAGTTGGTTCATCATTCATGATGGCCTTTTGTGAAGAAATTACAAATAACTTTTGATACTGGGTACCTTTTCTCTCCATGAAACCATTTTACTGTAAGAAATTATTAACACTGACAAGCCAAAATATTGATTTGTTTTTATTATAATTAGCCAGATGTTCAGTATTAACTTGGTCTTTAAGCAAAAGCATTGTAAAAAATGGCCAAATGAGGGTGATACATGTAGCTACTATTTCCAGTTTTTCACTTACTAAAAGCAGTTTATATAACTGTTTTCTTTACTTTCTTGTACATGTACATGATGTGACATGAACTAGTTTTCTTCAAGCACAAACATTTTATTACAGACAAAATATTCTCACTTTACATATTGACGGGTAGTACTGGAGTACTACGAGGCATGCTACTGGGTCATTATCCTATAGGCTATCTGATAATATCAAATAAAAATATATATAATGATACAGTAATATATATTGGTTAAATTCATCATTTATATTTTCTAACATGTCATGGTGAGATGGACACCCTAGCTTGTATTATTGTTGTTGAATTATTTCTGCTTACTGCAATGGTTCTTACAGTCAAAACTGCCCGTCTTCCAAAATGCAAGAATAATATGGAAATATTACAAAAATTGTTGAAGCCAAACACAATATTCAGAGATCACAGAAAACATTGTTATGGAAATTTAGATTTTGCCAAGAAATTGTCAGGAATTTGAAATAAATTTGAAATCTGTAGAAGCCCTTTGTAACAGTGAATTAAATGAAGTGCCTGAAGTCTGGTTGCATTGATGTATTGCTTAGGATATATAGCTATGCTTAAGCGTTGGGTAAAAATGCTGTATGGAAAATATATTGTACTAATTTATTTAATTACAAGCAAAATATAAAAATATAAATTATGCATACACTCTTGCTGAGTTTGATATCCTTATTCATACATATTTAAAATATACATACAATAACACATGTATATATGGAATACCTTCCATATTGGCCATGTTCCATACAGAGGGGGTTCAACATTATTTTGAAAACTATTCCATGTAATGCATTGACCTCCTGACTGTACCATCAGACAGGTTTTACTGTTTTTATATTTTGAAAATTCTTTGATAGTTGAGTACTGGAGTAGTTTCATAGTTTAACAATTCATTTAGTCAAGCAAATGTCATTAATGTTGATAGTAATGGATGACCATTTAACTGAGGTTTTTGGAGCAACCTTCTAAATTGTTGAAATATTAAAATTCATACTCTTCATACAATGGTCCAAAGTATATCACACCTGTTCTTTTTATAAACACACATTTTACAGTTTAATTTTCCAATTTGATCAAATATCATGGATATTTTTCTGATATCATATCTGTAAAAGAACCCAAAAATGCAGTTCACAATTTTTTTGCCAATACTATGACAGATTCTTACTTTTGAGATCATCCTTATAAAATAATACCATTCACTGTCTACATATTTATATATTTGCAAAGGGCGAATACGGTAGTTAAAAAAGTGAAAAGTCGAAATGAAAAATACACTTGCTAATTCTTGACCTGTTGAATATAGGTCAATTCTCATTGATTTAACAATTTTAGAACATAATCATTTCAATGACATCCTGCATAATCTTACACATTGAGCAGATTACTCATTTTACTTAGACTGCCTTCACACACTTTCCAACTTTTCCAAATAGACTAACTTTTTCCATCCCCATCATATCCAAGGTACACATGTACCCAATGTTGGTTGATTGGTTCACATCATAAAACCAAAACTTGACGGCTTCTTTAGGTGCACCTGTAAGTGTTACGACTATGTCATCTTCTGTGTAGGTGATATCCGTTACTCTCTTTGAGGAAACTGGCACCCATTTCTCTAACTCCCCGAGAATCAGGTATTCATTTGCACTGAAAACAATATTATGATTTTATGATGATTCCATACAGCAAACAAGGCATTAGCATGACAAAAAAATGTCACCATCTAGTTGCTCACAATATTATGAGTTCAATCCTAAGTCAGATTTGAATTTCAGAGAACTTGTAGATGATTTCGAAAAAATGGGTCAACTAAAAGCAAGTTGAAAAAAAACATTTTTGACCTTGAGAAGGACACTGAAGGTCAAATCTATAGTCAGATTTGAACTTCTGAAAACCTGTAGATGGTTTTGGAAAAAAGTGAAGTTAGTCTAAACAGTATTTGTTAAGTTATTTGAAGATATAAGAATTTTTTACAGACACCAACTGCCATCTGCTGATCGCCAACTGCCAATCGACAACTGCTGTCACAAAAAATGGAGACCATAATAATATGTCACCACATTGAAATGAGATTCTCTCTCGCATTGAAAAAAAGAAAAACGAACATCGAAAAGTGAAAAGCTTAATCAATTAGATAACACTGAATATCCCTAAGGGAAAGCTCATTGGATGGTTCTTAAATAAGTTCATTGAAAACTTGAACACCCAATATGCCTTGCATGTCTTACTGTTGAGGCATTTTCTGCAAAATCACTCATTTTCAGTTTTGGAAGAGCTACATTGAAAACTCAATTAAAATGCAGGTTTACTTAATTGCACATAGCCATCTTTAAAGAGATAGCTATGTGCAAATAAAGTAAATGCAGATATTGATATCTGTGAAATTTGAGAAGCAGGCCCTTTAAACTCACTTGATTTCAAATGCAGGTGATGCATAGTAAAGGCAGAAATCTTGTACAGTACAATTGGCGATCTTCATGCCCTGATCACCACTAAATGGGAACACGGTTGAAGGATCTTTGTAAGAGAAATAGTAGGCTGAACTTGAGTACTGAAAAAAAAGATTTTTGTTATGTATGTTTTATCATCTTGCTTTTATCAAGCTTCGGACCTACGTAGTGATTGAGCGCAGGAACCAACAATGTGTTTTAGGTTCTCAATTGATCAAATGTGGTACAAAAAAGAGAAATACACACTCTTCCAGGTCTACCTTATCAAAACCAAGTTAAAGCAACTGGCCTGTAGTTTCATACCTGTGACATAGTTCCAAAGCCTGCATCTGCAGGTCCTATAACACTAGTCCACTTCTGGATGTTGTCTGCTGCCAGCAGAATACCAAACCTAGTAGCTGACTCCATGCTACCAATCTGTGAATAGGTGGAATAACACTCCCCTGCAGGCCCCGCGCCATCTTGGAACGCCCTCTATAATAGATATACATGGGGGTTATGCATTGGGTTGTTTTGGATTCAGATTTAATAAAACAGAATAAATGAGTTCCTAGAATCCAATATTTTGTTAATACAATGCATTTATTTACTTTTTCTATCTCCTGGTTTCTCTCGATAACTAACTTTTATATCATCTAGTTATCCTGTATATTAAATACAATTTCTAATTTTAACCTTCAAGAGAGCATTCAGTGAAGTTCATTGGGCACAAACCCTGAAACCTTTTCACTCTCACAGTCTCAAAAGCAACACATTTATTTTGACCTCTTGATTTTCATCCATTCAGTAATAGATCAATTATACCCTTCAAAAAATTTCAACTCTAAAAATGATTCTTTGACCTATGAGCCTCCTACAAAAGGCCACAATTAAAGATACATTTGAGGTCATTGAGAGCATCAAACCTGTAAAATCATTTGAACAAGCCAGAAGGCAGTGTGACCAGTGGGGATTCAATGTAATAAGCCATATACCTGTTTTATCATTCTATCAATGGGTGTTGCAGGTTTTGTAGGCTTCAGTATCAGTCCATCCTCATTGCAGCACCTTACACAATGAAAAAATACAAAGTTTAACATATTTATACGTATGTTTATCTGTTTAGTACTTCATATAATTGATATCCGGCGTATTCAAGGGTTATGGGGCACATTTTACAAGTACAGTATTTATAAGCAATTTGCATTTTAAAACATGTGGACATATAGTATCTGTAGTGGGGAATGATACTCCTTCTCAACAATGTATATGTTATTATTTACAATGAAAGCAGTCTTTGATCTTATTGAATGGATAAATATCTCGCTCTCAAAATACAATGTAATAGTATCAATATTACAGACCTTGAAAGCCAAGTGTTACATGTTTGAGTAATATTGGAATAATGCATACGTTTTCTTATATATACGTAGATCTAATTGTTCTACATGTGCAGCTACATTGATCTGTTTTTTATGTTTATTTAGTTTATACTAAAATTCTTCTTAAATGTGCTTCAAATTTCATCCTTATAACAAAAGTCCAAGTCACCTCATAAGCAAGGATCTGTTGGTGTATCCTATTTTGTCACTGTTCCCCACTGGTCCCATGCTCAATGTAGCTATAAGACACTCAAGTGCCACTGATGCAATGACACTCTTTCCTGAAACAAAGCTGTAATTTTAAATGTGAGTTATACTTAAGTCATCTGCCATACCTCCTTGGGACTAAACCTGCAAGATTTCCCTTGCCTAAGACACAAAAGGGTCAATAGGACCAATAATAGTGGTTACCAACCAAGGATCAGTGGCAGTGAAATCACAAGTATTTGTCATTATTACGAAATTTCAAATCATATCAGAGGTACATATTCAGATATTAATTTTTTCAGGTATTCTGTAACATTTGGTTATTAAATATAAAGACCATATGCTGGCATAGACTTCTCACAAAAGAAAACACAGTTCAGTAGGCAGACGTATGGGGCAAGATGTTCATTAATATCTATGAACACTTTACAAGATTCTATAAAACTAGGTGAATAAAACTGGTAGGCATATATTCTATTTTAAGACTGAAAAGAAAGTAACACTAACCACCATACGGATCTCCAGGTTCAACAGAAGTTGTCCAGAAGTTATCTTTAGATGGCGCTAAACCTACTGCATCTGCAAACATTGATGTTGCCCCAATCTTCCATTGGTTGGGCCCAGAATTTAGGAAATCATTGCTTGCTCTGGCCTGAAAAGTTTAGATCTTTTAAATGTGAATGACAGAAGATCTTTATTAACACTCACGTCTCACAATCATGGCCATATCTTACAATGTTGGCCAGTTTATTTATTTTACTGGTCAGATTTTTCATCCTGAAGAAAATTTTCAATTATATTACAGTGGAATCCAAATTAAGTTATGGTCAGTTTTATAACGACATGAAGTTTTGGTTTCAACATGTAACTGTACCTGTGTAACAGCAGGTATTTCTAAACTCTGTAGAATTTCCTTTGAGGCTGTCATGCAATACTGCAAGTTAAGGCCATTTTCCTCAGCAGCTTTTCCCATAGCAACCAGCCAATCTCTCCCAAGAGACACGTTGCTAACAACCATGTCACTCATAAGGGGAATCTCCATGAAGTCCTGTGTGACAAAATATTTTAGATACAATGTCAGGCATAATATATGACGTATAATTAACGAAAATGGGATCATTTTTAAAGGAGTTGGTATAATGTACACTGTATGTATATTAATCAACATTGACATTTACTAACACATTTGCCAACCTGTTCATATACAGAAAGTCCCCATTGTTTAGATTCCATGAACAGCCAGCTCCAGAACTCCTGACCCTGAGGGATGGCAACAGTATTATCAATAAAGAAATCAAAGTTGCCTCCATTCTTCTTGGCATAGGGCGTCTTTGGGTGCCTACAATGAAAATTGTATTGTATTATATTTTCAATTACAATTCATCTAGAAAGCTGTCATGACTGTTTTTCATATCTTGAGATTCCAATTTTTTTTAATTAAAATCATCAGAACATGAATTTCCTACAATTTAACTTAAGTGTTCTTATCAATGTGTATGCATTTGGTATTATTAATTCCAAAATGGGACTCAATACATTTTACTCAGGCAATGTATGTTTTTAGTAGTGTTGTGGCGATTAATCGATACATCGCGATATACATCCATCTTGATTCTCAAGGTATTAGTTGCTCCAACTTCACCTTGATATATCTAGTGTAGTGTTTCATTCCTTAAGTAAACAAAACAAAAAATGCTTATGAGCATGGTGTGCTCACAGCAAAGACACGATTACGTAAGACAAACAGATCACTTCAATAGGTTCTTTCAATAGACATTCATTAAGGGCCATAAAATGTCATTTGTAAGTGTGGTTACATGTACTTGTGAAATGAATATTTGGACAAATTTGATTGGTACCGTGGTCAAACACACGGGGAATGAGCCACAACACATTAATGGGACAGAAAAATCAGCTATTTGTTCCAAGGGGTGTTATAACCACTTGGAATTCGAAGATGATATACATCGCCAAAGCTGATTCTGGCGATGCATCGATGTCTGAAACAAAACATTGATGTTTTTTAAAAAAGTGAATTTGCTAAAAATCGCCATTTCTTATCTTATTTTGAAAAAATCGCTTAGCTTTTTTCATGTTTTATTTCATTTTCCAATGTTTTCTGATATTCTTTCGCTTTAAAACTGTTTCAGCTTGTCGAAATGAACCATTAATCTAAAAAAATAATTTTACTTTCATTTCACCGTTACTAAATGGCTCCCGGATGTACCAGCGTACTCTTATTAATTTGTTCTGTTCGGTATTTAAGTGCATTTGCGTTCGGTATTTCAGTGCACTTTTTTCGAACTTTTTCTCGATGTACATCGATGTACGTGCATCGATGTTTACTACTGAAAATTGCCGATGCATCCATGTACGATTATGACACATCGCGACAACACTAGTTTTAAGGAATGTCAATTTAAAGGTTCTTCATACCAGAACTTATTGTGAGCATGGACAGGCCAGCCAGTTTTCTGCCATAGGTACCTAAAATATACAACAAATTCTATATAGCGTTTTACTTAATACAAAGAATATTCATTTTGACGTCTTCTGGACCAACATTTCTAAAGATATTTCAGTTAATGTAATACCAAATGTAGACCAAATATTCACAAAACATTTCACTAAAAGTATTTGTTTTGAGTCAAACAAGAACTATTAAGATTTCTATTAATAAGGACATGGTTTTACTACACATGACTGTGGATATAATTCAAGATCCATTACTTATAACATATTTCTGATTTATCGTTACATTTAAATGATATATTATGTAGAATTGAACATCTTCAATTAAACCTAGTTAGAAAAGTTCTAATATTTTCTGAAGCTACATTCTGTACATGTAACATGCATGTACTGCACTTACTTCAATCCATGAGGGAATGTTCTATTTGTGGCATCCCAAGTCAAAGTGGCTCCGCTGCATTTGCCATTTTTATAAGGAGGTACATTTGGGGGACTGGAGAAAAGAGGAATGACAAATCTCTATGACAATGAACAACATTATAAAGTAATACAAACATTAACAAAAGCTATTCACAAGGGATGGTCTTCAACAGATGTGAAAGGACAAAATAGTTTTTTTCAGGGAAGGGGGTTTGTTAATATCCAACCAATTTAAAGGAACTGCAAATGAACATTTTCAAATAGTGCTGTATGGGTGAAAGGGGTGAGGGTACAACCATTACAAAAATTACTTTTTATTTCCACACTTGTCATTATCATTAAACTTTATTAAGATTTGGCTCAAATACATGCATGTGATTTTTTCGTACAAAATCCTGGATAATTTGATGAAATTGATTTTTCTGAAATGTATTATTAAAATTAAGTACACTACAGGTAAATATGCGGCAATGGACCGAGTTCATTATCAATAAAGTGAGAGTATATCATGGTATGCATGTGATCAGAGATCAGAGCATTTATCACATTCAGCATAAAAAATGACTTGTATCAGATCAAGGAGAATTAGAAAGTAAAGGCTTAATCATAACTGTAATTCATTTAGGCACTTACTCTAGATTATACCAATAGCAGTCCAGCTGGAGGTACCTACAAAATTAACACAAGGCATTAACATGCAAATTGTCACTACCTGCCATTTGTTACAGATGGTAAAAACTGAAGGCTTTGGATTTCTTAATTAAAAAAAAACATGCTATTTTCAACATCAATAACCTGTTTTTCAAAAAAGGATTGAAATATTTGTTAAAATATTCAGGTGGGAAAGTCATTGGTGTTTTGACCCAGCTCCTAAATAACAAATACAGTAGTAATACCATCTGGCAGTGAATACTTTACCTATATGGAATTTTCTGTTGCACTGCATATTGCTTGACATCTAATATGGTGTCTTCATATGTTTTATTTCCCTCTGTATTGAAGTAGTAATAACCACCTACAAACAACAGATCTTAGTTAGTTTCATACCCTTTGTATACTTCTACAAATATAATTTATAAACTATATATATCCAATGCAATAGTTGGTGGCCATTTATGATTTTTAGGCATTAAGATATTGATCAGCTTGTATCTTGTTCTCACAGGTTCTTTGCAAAAGATTTAATTCTGTGCTTAAAATTAAAAAATAATCTTTATGTTTGTCTTTTATTTTTCCAAAATCTTCATTCATGTACCATTATCTGTCCAGTATCCTAGGTAGTTCAGTGTAAGATCTCTGTTCCTGGCATCGAGATTCTTGTTGTACTTCTTTCTCAACATCTCTCCCCAGCCTTCCATTGCCTTAATACATATTCAACAACATTTTATATAAAAATACTAACATAATACTGTATTTCTCTAATCCTTAATGTTGACAATTAATATTTTACATGTGCTGTGAGCATGTTTATTCTACAGAAGGGTGCCATATTGGTTCATAAATTTAATATCTAAATAGCTTCCATGTGAAAATACAAAATTTTTCTTGACCTTATTAATACCATCATCACTGTAGTATATGATGGTCTCGTATTTGAATCCAGGTGGCACCACTGACACATTCCCCACCAGACCCCAGCTGAGACTGTCAAGTGATGAGTTATGCTGCCTCTGTGATGTCATAAAGTGGTTGAATGATGAGATCACAATGGCGCTAGATGTGTTATCAAACACAACCAGGGGACCACTAAACATTCCAGAATTTGCATGCTCTAGGTATCTGAAATAAAAAAAATACAGTAAAATATGTGTCCAGGCATTTGGAAAACCAGTAAGTGAACCAATATGTATATCCACTTCCATTCCATGTAAGATCTGAAAAATGTGATATCTTACTTCAGTTGAAGAATTTAGAGTTTCTCATGAGAATGTGGAGTAGTAGGTAGAGACCGTTTCTATTTAGCAGACTTGCAAGAATAATAGATATGGATATCAAAATCTCCGTGTTTCCTTAAGGATTTTAGTTAAAAGGCATAAAGAGTGACATGAGACTGAAAAATACTGTATTTAACAAGATGGAATATTTTGGAAAGTTGCAGTGCTGTATAGATATGATACTACCTTGAATATTAATGGGACCACCTTTTAAACTTAAATGTTATCTGGTTCCAGCAGTGTCTACTTTAACCTTAAAAGGTTAACTATGTACCGCATGTATAAGTGGTTTTAATCAGCCTCACCTCATATTTATGAAATTAAACAGTTTTGCTCATATATTTGGAATATCTTTATCTACTTATGTGTACTTTTTATGATAACTCAAGATAAAGTCTTATGCATCCTAAGTTCACAAACCACAAACTACATATACACTAGAAAACAGCAACTCCAAGGAGAAGCAAATCCCAACGAACACTATAACATATATGAATCTGTATTTGTCACAATGTAATATTTACCATCTACTCTTACCTTGAAAATATGATCGGTAGATATTAAAATACTTCATTAGTATATCAGAATTTCCACCAAATTAAGTATTTTGGTGACCATTTAAGAGTTTCAAAGGCACAAATAATTAAGATAATATATTTCAGATCTTATAAAGTATCATGTCACCATACTTTAAAGAAACCTCTAAGTAACGGCGAATTCCTGCTTGGCTGCCATTTCACAATCACAAATCAGAAAAACAATAAAAGCAAAATCCGTCATAAGGTGGCCATTTTGAATTTTACGAGGCCCAAATTAGAAAGACGACACAATATTTGCAATCTACCCTAAATTGGCTTTCATTTGAGTATATAATAAAGCTTTACTTTAGAAATATCTCAAATTAAAGCAAATTCCTGTTTTCTCGATCCCCCATACACAGCCCCTGGAGGTCAGACTGAAAAACTTATATATGTGACGAAGATAGATATTGTGAATATTATTAAAATTTCAAACAATAATATTCATTTATTTGGTTTAAAATAAAAAACTAAAGATTTTCCGAAATATTCCCGCCATTTCTAAAGCGTTGGCCATCTTAAAAAAATTTTGTTGCGTAAAACTATTCACCAAAATGCATCTTTCCACTAATTTTGAAGCAAATCCGTCCACTAGTATTCGAGTTATCTTCCGGATGGATGGATGGATGGACAGATGGATGGACGGACAGACTGATGGACGGGCTGACGGATGGAATGCTTCACTCTATCCCTACCGAGCTTTGAACAACGAGGTATATATATATATATATCAGTCTACAAATATGAGATTATTGTGATAGTTACCTTCCATATTTTAACATTTGATGTCCAGTAAATATGCCACCATATGAGAGAAAGCCAGTGGGAACCTGTCCTGCATATGATGCAAGGGAGGGGAACCCGGATATCAAACCATCTCTGTTATGAACACTGCAGTTAGTGGCCCCATCTACAAACTCCTACAATACAATTGCCCTTGCATGTTAGTTTGATTTATGAATGGTAATGAAAATTCAAAATTTCTGTATCTTTGGAATTTTTTACTAGAAGCTCCTCCTTCCAGGGGTTGGGGAGGATGGTAATATACGCAACTATGGGTCAAGGTCATAGACAAATAAAATTAAATAACTAATATAACACACTTATATCCCCAATACATAGCCTACCTGCCCGAATATGACAGCATTTGCCTGGGATTTAAAAGAGAGATTGATTCTTGTTTTGCCAGCTACATACTGATACTCCTTGTATTCCCAGCTGCCTAGGTTGTCTACAACCACAGACATTTCAACATGCTGCAACTGCAGAGTGCCATCATGTGTAGAGTAGCTGAGTAAATATTGCAAGAAATAAAGTAAATTAGACATTTCATCATATAATAATAACAATAGACATCTACAAACAGAATACTACTTAAAAATTTGTATTTAAAAATAAACTCCTCTAAATTTTAAGAAAAATAATTCATATTGAATCACATTTATGGAAGATGGAAGTGGCCAACTTATACATTTTAAGACAACATGGAAATATTGACCTTCTCCCATATTAATGAATGAATCAAGCTATTGTTAATTTTGCTTGTTCAGAGCTACAGCTACATGTATGATTTAGGAATTTGTCCAGTATGTTTTCTGAACCTCTTGATTTGTGCATATTCATGTGCAGAAGATTATACTCTGTAGCAGTAGATACTGTAAACAAATACTCACACTTTCCCATCAATATGGAAGAATGAGTCTGAGCTTTTGAACCAATCCTTCTGGTTTATAGTAACTCTATATGTTCCAAAAGGGTCTGTGCCTACATCGAATGTTCCTTTCTTTAGTGGAGGAGGTTCATATTGTCCCTGATCAAACTGAAACACTTGTTGGCCTAAAACGATGAAACAAAATAAATTAGGGGGAGAGGTGACACCATTAGCTTGCCATCTTTTTTCAAGGTGATCAGCTCAAAATTTCTAAAAATGACCAATGATTTTGACTGTTCAATTGAAAGCTCAATCTTGTCCAGTGATAATCCTTGATTTGTAATTGGATAGTTGAGATTATGGGAGCCAGAGACTGAGATGATGGAGTCCGGATGGAGTTCAAAACGAGATGACAGGTACAAGGTAGTTATAATTAACTGAGGTGATTATGGATAAGAGAGTCTGAGATGAGTGCTATAAATTGAGGTGATATGTACATGCACCATGGCTTTTGAATCTAGGATGACGAGTACCAGAGTGGAATGAGATGTGACGATCAAGTGCCAAATGAGATAACAAGTACCATGGGCTTTCAACTAGAAGGGTAGGCAACTTCCCATATTTCATACATAAACATTGCCTTTTGGTTTTTAAAATTGGAGAATCTACACATTCCAAGAAAATCTTATTTTGTACTTTTTATGGATGATTCAAAGAAATAACTCAAAAATAAAAACATAATTATCTACATACATGTTGATAATCTAATAAATGGAATTCATCATAATTATGACAATACACAAAGTGAACATTCTCCCGCAAATTATGTTTAAATTGGAATGTGTTCTTGAATAATTACCCACAATGCAATACTTGAAGAGAACATCTTGATACCTCTTATACTTTTTGGTCGTTTTTGTTCACTTTTACATGAGATTGAATATATTTTATGCTTTAACCATATTGAAAATTGATTTCTATTCAAAATAATACAAAAACATATACATTATATCTAATACTTTATGAAATATTACCATGAAAGGGAAGCATGGCATTGCTCATTTTGAAGGTCTCATGCTTATTACACATAGTTGCATACCCTTCTAATTGAAAGCCCACGCAAGTACCAAAAGCAATTATTGGATTGGAATGAGGTAAAATGAAACCAAAAAAATTACTCCGAGAGCCATGTTAGATTTTGAAAATTATGTTATAGATTTATAATGGCTATAATAGTATCAAAATCCACATTATAGCTTTGGCAGGAAGTAAACACAAAAGTCATGTGCATGACATAGTTTTATATATTTGATTTTTGCAGCCATGCTAACCCAAATTATCCATTTACATTGAGATCATTCCCTACCTGAATCAAATGTCTGCAAGGAGGGAGTAATAATCACAGGAAGTTCTATCAAGACCTTTTTGGGCCTTTATGGACTTTTGCCCCCCCCCCACCTCTCATACCTTTTGGCCTTTATGGGCTTTTGCCCCCCCCCCCACCTCTCATAAGGGAATTCATCTCTTATGAGGTGGGGGGGGGGTGGCAAAAGCCCATAAAGGCCCAAAAAGGTCTTGATACAACTTCCTGTGGTAATAATGAATAAAAGAAATTTTGATGCTGAAAAAAATCACGTCAAAAACAAGAATCAAATCTGACCATGGGCTCTATTACAGATGCGATCTTGCCATCCACTCGATGCTGTGAATAAAAAAAGTGTCTCATAATTAAAAATACACAACTTAGATCAACTGAGCACATAAATACATACCTGAAATGAATTTTGTAATGCATGTAAACAAAATCAAGTTGATGGCATGCGCCATTTTGGATGATCACATGATTATGTTTTGTCACGTGGTACGAAAGTAATATTTAGCGCGAAATTTAAACCCCAGTCACGCCGAACATATTCAAGTACACCGCATTATTACCAAAAATATTATTCATTTCTGTAAGATATCTGATTTATATCTTTTATAGAATATTATACTTTTTAAACAGTATAAAATAGACCTACTTTTGTTTGAAGTTCTATGAAGGGTCAGATTCAGATTTGGCATCCGTTCAGATTTCGCCGATTGCCGTATTAAAGTGCGACCATGTGCGTAGCGCTTGTTACGCATAGTAAGACTAGCAAGCCCGTGAATGTGTTGAAATGGCATAATTGTTTGCACATGATTTATTGATGTGTATATTTATCCATTTAACCATTAAGTTTTATCAGAATATAACTATCTAAAGTTGTTAAAAAACGCTCAGATTGCATTCGAAAAAAATGTCCCGGGGGTATACCCCCGACCGCTCCCCAAGATGCACGGCCTTCGGTCATGCAAGTGGGCGTACCAACTCAAATATAGCCATGGGATACCACTGGTGATCCACAACAGAATCGTCGATTTAATTCCTCACTTAGTTACATAAACGGTTCAGTGGATTAAAAGTGCAGATCTTAACTGTTTTTCGAAAAACCGTCTTCTGAACTCATGGCGTAGAATATTGGAAATAGCGTCATAAATCCCGGGACAATGAATCTCGGATCCAAGTACGTCATTAATGGTCGAAAATCAAAATATTGACAAATTTATAACCTAAAAGGCCGAAAGATTATGCGGCAAATATAGAAACGGGGGTTTTCAACATATTTTATAAGCTTTGACCTCTTAGAATCCGTTGAATCCTAAGCGATTGGAGTTGTTTAGATCACTTAACGAATGATATAAAATGATGAGGATTTGAGTTTTTTCAAAGTTTATAATGGCGGCCAATGGGGGATTTAAGCAAAACATCCCGAAAATTAAATCATTAAAAGGCCGAAAGATCTATGGATGGATTTTGCTGATTTATATATCAAAACGAACACTTCGTTGGGTGTAACAAGGATCCGTTGAATCCTAAGAAAATAAATGATTTGCTAAAAAGTTATTAAGATTTTAAATTTTGATCCCGATTTTGATGAAGACTGTTTTCCATTGAAATCTTTGGACCATGAAATGTCGATTTACGCGCATGCGTTGTGACGTTATTTCCATTATTCTACGCCATGATTTGTTCGCACATATGTACATTTTCTTAAACATATGATACTGATACACAAATGTCGTGGGAATTCTGCCTATCGTGTGAAAGAGGTAAAGAGAAAAATCGTACCTTCGATGTTCCGACATTTTGTTACCAAAACGAACCGTTTCGGTAACCAGCGTAATCGAATGGATCACCAGTGCATACGCCCATGGCGACCTAGCAGGGGCGGATCTGGAAATCAACAAGGGGGGGGGCCAAATTTCAAGTCAGAGAAAAAAACGTCCGCGCTAGCGCGGAAAAAAATTTTGGGTCCCTAAAACCAAAAAGTGGGCCCAAATTTTGAAATTTTGAGGCCCATTTTCTTCAAAATTTGGCCTGAAATTAAAAAATAAGGCCTTAAAAGGCCCAGTAATGACCAAAAAGGCCCACTTTTTGGGGCCTGAAGGCCTTTTTTGGCCCAACATTTTTTTCTGGGCCCACCCCCCCCCCTAATCCGCCAGTGCCTAGGATCGGATGAAGAATTTTTTCAACCTACAGTCAACATCCATTCCACGTGACAGTTTCACGTGTGTTCGAACTGCAATCGTTACTTTACATTGCGCAAGATTGCAGACGCACTATACCACAGACCTATTTAGTGTTCTATACCGGGTTCAGACTTCTATAGAATTTGAGCGAATTACGATAATCCAGTCAACAAGATAATCCTGTTTGGCAAAATAGAGTAAAAGCTTTTTGCAATGAACGGATGTGTGCTCAATACCAATGGTTAAATTATACGATTAAAGGAATCCAACACCTTGCAAAACTTCTTAACGGAGAGGAATAAGGGAAAATGCTTGCCGGATTCTGAATCTGTGTATTTTTTAATGATTTTTCACCGTCTTAGAATTTCAATTTTTTTCCTTTAAAAAATGAGATTTGCATTGTTTTCCAATTAGACAAATGAGTAAACATGAATAGCCCGAAATCTAACGGTGAGATTTTGTTTTAAAAAATAATGGATATCAAGGCTAAATATAGCTATACAATAAACATAAAAAAGCAATGCTTGGACTCTTCATATTCACACAAAAAATTAATTAGTAAATGAGGTTTGATATTTGTGAGAATAAGTTGTACGAGTCGCAATGCTCTATAAACACCAGACTACAGGGTGGATTAGGATCAATGACACACATAAAAATTGATTTAAAAACATTTCATGATAATTATCTCAAACAAAAGCAGTTAGCGAAGGATACATTTCATTACACTCAATAAATAGTTATCACTTTTGACTATATATACATATCTCATGGGAATGTATTTCCATCTGCTCAAGATATCATATTTTAGCTTCGAAAATCACAATCGTTGGATAATACATTTGTCTCAGAATGATAGGCCACCCTGTAGCAATGTAGCTTTCACTTGAAGTGTACCCTTGAGAATAATGAACTTACTTTCAAATTGGTCTTGCTTTTGTGGTGTATGTGGCATTTTAGCAAATCTGCCACGCTCATTTCTTTCCAGAACCATCTTGTTCACATGTAACACTAGGCTATACGCGCATGTATAGACAGATGACATAGATATACATATAAATTATATATTGCACCTGTATTTACTTACATGGGAATATTCCCTTTGGAAAAATGCAAATGCATGAACATATATTTTCATCTTATATATGACTTCAAGCTAACATATTATTTCATATTTATATTTTCATAGTTAGTCTAACATAAATAATAGATCCATGAGAACAATATTCTTTGTTTTCTTAAAAATTGATGGGTTTACTGTGAATTCAATAAATTACAATTTGCAAGGGGTAAGTATACTGTATGACCTTAGTTGCAAAGTACTGTTTATATATGCAGCTCAATAGCATAAAATATGTTGAATGAAGCATATGGTGGGGATTAGTCGTGTGACACACAAACTGACCAATACATGAGGGTATTAGCTACTTTTCACAGAAACCAAAGGAGGACAGTGATTTTATTTCAACTGGGAGCTTACCTCCACACGACTGATCATGTGACCATGGTGTTGGGTCCCTTTAAGAATAACTCAGCCACGGTCACCCCCTCCATCTTGTTGTATGGCAGTTACCGTAATCACTGTACCCGCGCTAAATATATCGAATGAATGATATATCGAAGTATTCACGATGGGATTGTTTGCTGCAAATTAGGATGGGTCGATGACGCATAAAACAGTTCATAAATAACATCGTATGATTGTTTAGTTTTTAAGCAACAACCATCCCCTGCACCGAGTCCCTGCATTTACCAATACTTCAAAAGACAATCCCATGATATTCATACAGAACTTATCACTCACTCAACACGCATCAGAAATAGAAAACAAATAAATAACGAACGTCTGCCATAAAAAAGGTCCGCAATGAAATCCGAAAGAATTAGCTGTTGTGCTCCATCCCCGGCTCCATCATTGGCGGATCATGGGCTCTCAACTAGAAAGCTCAGTGGTTTTATCAAGTGTAGCTTGCTCTTTTGTTAATCTGACTGTAGTTGTTTACTGAAATACTTCACGACGAACAAAAATAAATCTGAAATTGTTGTTTCCCCAGGTTTATGTTTACTTGGTCAATTCTTTGAGCTCAATGTCATCATCGTGTGTGGTCTATATAGGCTAGGGTCGCAGTCGCAGCTAACCGGCTTATGGCAGATCAATCATGATCACTGTAAATATTGAACAAACCCCAGGCACGATGTTTACAACTTTCAGGAGGCAATAAGTAGACTATGGTATAATTTATTTCATATTCGGTTCAATCTGACATTCGACCAGACCAAGATGAAGCAGAGTGGTCACATTAACAAAAAATATTAATGAGGAATTTGATACGTGCCGATTATAAATGTTTTTAGGCTAATGCAGATGACCTTTTTGGGATTACAAAGGTCATCAGCCCGTCATGCGAGTTCAATTTTCACACCATGTTGAGAGCCCGGTTGAGAGCGAGAAAAGCAACCGGGGCAGTCTCCGAAGACTGAGACTTGTTCAGGGTAACTGGCCAATGGTCAGTGATAAAATCCTGCTAAATGTGTGATTGACATTGAGCTCGAAATGCATCAATTACTAGTATACAAGTAAATGTCTGTAATAAAATAATGTCTTTTTAGTACTGATACGGTATTGGAATCTCCACGTGGTCGAGGGGGTGTGACATTCTAACCACGCCCATCTTTCTGTCCAATCAAACCCGCTGAAATGGATTGGCCTTCCAAATATGGAGAACAGGAGATGTGGCGTGATATTTCAAATTGAATTCTATGAGCTTTTCGGTCAACAATCAGTGTATAAAAGAATGTGAAAGAGGATTTTTATGCGCTTTTGAATGTGGGCTATTGGCTTACCCAGCTGATCCATTTCTATCAGCTGATTTCTAGGACCGGCAACGTGCTTGAAAAGAAGACATCAATTTCTGGAAGCATTTCATTTTTGGAGGCAATTACACCTCAGGTAAGAAAAACCTTAATTATGTAAACAAGTTAACAAATGCATAAATCATATTGAACGTATAGCATTTGCAGAAAATGAAAATATGAACTGCAAGGCCAAATCAAATAACCTGAGATCAAACACCAATGACCTTCAATTTTAGGCAACCCAGATTTGCGCAGGATGCAAGAATGCTGCTTTAACAAGCGGTATCAAATCATGCATGTAAGTTGCCAAGGGGTATTTTACACAACCCTAAGGATACATGCAACAATTAAGGGCATGCTGCAATTGTAGGCAACCATTTGCAATATTTAAGATGCAAACTCAATCAATGGTCATTTTTTTTTTTTTTATGCAGCCTGATTAGGCAAATAATGGGGCTGCAACATACAGTCCACTTTGGTGATAGAATTGGACCAAATAGGCCTACAATTTAAATATTGACAGAATTAAAGTACTGGTAGCATTACTGCACTCAATTAAAGCACATATAACTCGTTTACAGTCAAAGTGAAAGTACATGCAATTCATGCAATTTATTTACTGAGAGAATTAAACCACATGTAACATAATTACTGTCATTAAAGCACATGCAATTAAATTATTGTCAGAATTAAAGCATATGTAATTCAATTACTTAAAGCACAGGCAATTTATTTCCCGAGAGAATTAACCACATGTAATCTAATTACTGTCATTAAAGCACATGCAATTAAATTACTGTCAGAATTAAAGCAAATGTAACTCAATTACTTAAAGCACAGGCAATTTATTTACTGAGAGAATTAAACCACATGTAACCTAATTACTGTCATTAAAGCACATGCAATTAATATTACTGTCAGAATTAAAGCACATGTAACTCAATTACTTAAAGCACAGGCAATTTATTTACTGAGAGAATTAAACCACATGTAACCTAATTACTGTCATTAAAGCACATGCAATTCAATTACTGTCAAAATTAAAGCACATGCATTTCAATTACTGTTAAAATCCAATTACTGTCAAAATTAAAGTGCATGCATTTCAATAACAGGCTCACTGCACAATGAAACCTGTAAAGTGGAAAACCTCTAGAAATAGAACACCTCTGAAAGTGGAACACTTTTCAGAGTCCCTAGATCAACTGACTTAATGTTAATGAACCTCTATAAGTGGAACACCTCCCAAGTAGAACACTTTTTAGAGGAACCAAATGTGCCAAATGTGTTCCACTTAAAGGGGCAACAAGGACTGTGGAAGATGAGCTATCAGGACAATATTTGGCTAAACATCTTCTTTGACATACCTATTTTCTTAAAATGGATGGATAAACTTTCAGTTTCAGCATTAAGAAGTGTAAATTCAGTTCAAAGCTTCTATAAAGGGAGTCCCACTTATAATTTTTAAGATCCATCACGTTTCAAGAGGAATATCAGCTGAAATAATGTTCATCCAGGGGGTTTCTTTGTAGATATCAATATATGTTAGTCTTGATGAAATTTCCAAACTTAAATATATTTGACACTGGTCGATGATCGTTGAATGGTCGCACCTTTAAATAGGTATTTCATGTAAATTATTATCACTTGTTCTATTTTGTTGAAATAAATAAAAACTCATGAGTTAAAATAAAGTGTTTTGGCTGGGTTTTGGAGAGGATTGTATTATTTTATGTTAAGACATTGTTTTTTAATGTAGTTTCATAGTTGTCAGTCCAATTGACACTAGTGTACTAACCTGCTCCATATTATTAATTGTAATATTTACAATTGTTCCATATTATTTCAGCCATGAGTCTCCTGCCATTAGCCATGCTAATTCTTGTACTACTAGACTTCATCATGATGATAGTAGCTGCTCCTATCTCACACAGAAAATCTCTCTCTACTATGATAACAAAAGGTAAGCCAGGGTTTGATTTCATAATTAAGGTACTCATATCATGCTAAAAGAATAAAAATTGATAAGAGAGCAAAAATTTCAAGACTTTTTGGTCAACCCTCGATTCATTACGTCCAATTAAAAGTACATTTTCTAATTTAATGAAGAATTCCACTCACTCCCTTCCTTTATCAAGACATTAAAATTATATATCTATATTATTTTCCTTCAAATGAAATTATTTTGTGAAAGAATACAAAACATTGCTATTTGACTGCTTTTAGTCCAGTGACTTGCCTAATTGATATATAAAAGGCACCTTTGAGTTCCTAGTTCTTCAGTGAAATTATAAATTTTTATTAAATCATTTGAGAAAGTTAACACTCTATCTGTAAAAAATTGAAAAATCTTGATCATAAATATATTCCCAAGTTTGGGGGTAGGGCCTTTAAGTCTTGGGGACTTAGGCTATCTTTTACATTTAGGAAAATGACACTTTCTGGGAAGGCAACACATATGGAGATAAAACATTCAATGGCTTGGGGCTAATTCTTGTTCCCGGGATCACTATTAAAATGTTTTGGAGAAAGGCCCAATTTTCTTTTCTCTATTTTCCATACATTCTCAAAAACATTGTTTAATTCCAAGTTAAAAAGGTGAAAGCTCACCCCAGAATACCTGTTGGTGTTTCCTCAAAGAATTATAGTTTCTTTTCAATATTTGTGGCAAGGCAATTAATTAAAATCATTTCAGTATATAGTCCTTTTAGCTCTTAAAATTTTTGGCAATTTATAAAAAAAACAAATCATAATTGAAATATGACTTAAAAAGCTTCATTTTCAATTCATCATGAAAATATAAATTATCATAAAGAGGCATTGTTACAGGTAGATTGGACCATTTTGGTACCCCTTGATATTTTGATGGTGAATTATGCAACCAACTGTCAGACTCAGATTTTCATGACAGCTAATTTTATGGCAAAATTAATATTTAACTTGGTCATACTGAATTTATTTTGCATTGGATTTTTAATTATTCATTTTAAACTGAATTATGTATAAACCCATTGAGAAAAAAGTATTCCAGAACAGAAAAAACCTTGAATCTTGAAGACCAGCTAATTGGCTCTCATAGACTGTAACTGCATAACATTTATTTTAAATGACACTTTTCTCTTGATAAGTAACATGCTGTTTGAAATGAGATCTTAGTGTTTTGTGATAAGCATGGCACTTCAGACAAAATCACACCATACACAGTTATTACACCTATAAAAAACAGTTGGGGGTTGTCTCAAAACTGAAATAAAAAATAGTTCATTTAGATTATTAGATGAGTGTAATTAATTCTTCGTTCTTATGTTTTAAATGAGTTTAACATTTCTCATTGATCAGAAAAATCGTAATAAGTAAATCATAATAGTTTATGGTTCCAAAATCTAAATGAAATTTTGAAAGGATCCCCTTATTCCAGTCTTATCTAGAACTGGAATTGGGTGAAAAATAAAAGTGGTCTGATCGTTAAACACCTTATTGACAAAAAAAGGCAACAAAAAATGTTAACCAGACATCAACAAAATTGGGAAATATCAAGGTAGGCGGAGAGGGAGAAATTTTATACGTTTTTAGACATGTTTTTAGACATGTTTATCATGTCATCAGTTAATTAGTGAGTTAAGTTGTAAGCATCTAAGCTTCTTGCAGATTGAACAATTGAATAAGAAAGATGAGTCTAGCGAAGACACTACACTACTTAACTCTATCTAAAAATAATATGTGAAAAACATTGATTTCGCAGATTGGAAATATTTAATATCATCAAAAATTTTGTTGTTCTTTTATAACATCGATTGATGCACTTCCTACATTGCTCAGTCAAAACAATATTTTTTCACAGTTTTTGTAAAGTTTATTTAATTCCTCATTTTTTGTTTTGTCTTGGTTGACATGTGAAGTAACATTTTGCTGAGATTTATGTTTATTAAAGAAACAGTGACATGATCAATCTTACTGTATTTGATAAGATCATGTGAATTGTAGTTTTATCAATATTAAAAAATTCTCACAGTTAGATAAATAAACTAGACTTGGGAAATTGAACGAAGTTCAATTTCAGACTCCAGATTTAGACCATTTTTAGCCGAGTCATCCAGAATAAGCTGAGTCATCCAGAAAAAGATGGATGAATAGAATAGGAAGGTAGGATAGGATAGTATAGGAAGGAACGATAGGATAGAATAAGAAAGAAGGATAGGATAGAACAGAATAGGAAGAAAGGATATGATAGGAGAGGATAGGAAGGAAAAGATACGAGGGAAGGATAGATAGGAAGGATAGGATAGGATAAGATCAGATGGATTGATAAATTTTTCAATATTTTCGACTTCTCTACTCTAGACTTTCTATCAGGATACCATCAGATCGATTTTCCGAAATTAAGCTTTCAAAACGCCATAACTTACAAACCGGAAGTGGGATCGAAATTTGATTTGCAGACTCGGATTCCTGAGAAAATTCTACCCTTAATTCATAACTCATATGTTAAATTTGGAGGACTTTTTATTTTGACCTACTTTTCGGACACAATATCTCAAAAGTGGGTCGAAATATTTTCTGACGGCAAAGGCTAACACTATTAGCACACTCTTTCCTACCTGTATACAAAATTTTGAAGCAAATCATTTAAACATAGTGTCAGAATCGCAAAAATAAGGAAAAACTATGAATTTGACCTGGATATTGACCTAGAGATTTTGGTGTCCAAATTTTGAAGTTAGGTAGCCTTCGAGGTCCCCTTCTTTCAAAGGCTTTCATTATTTTAAGCTGTACCTAGTCTATATCTCGTATTTTACACTTCAAAAAAATCCTTTTTCCCATTGACATAATATGGGGCACCAAATTTAGCGATTTTTGAGCTTTCAAAATGTCATAACTTCCGAAGCGGAAGTCGGATCGAAATTTGATTTGCAGATTCGGATTCCTGAGAAAATTCTATACTTAATTCATAACTCAAACGTTAAATTTGGAGAATTTTTTATTTTGACCTACTTTTCGGACACCATATCTCAAAAGTGGGTCAAAATACTTGCTGACGGCAAAAGGCTAACACTATTAGCACACTCTTGGCTACATGTATACAAAATTTCGAAGAATATAATTAATCTGTAGTGTCAGAATCGCAAAAATAAGGAAAAACTTTGAATTTGACCTAGATTTTGACCTAGGCATTTTGGTGTCCAAATTTTTATGAAAAGAAGGTTTTGAGGTCCCTTTCTTTTATGGGCTTTCATTATGTTTAGCTGTGCTTATACTCGGGGTGGAAAATTTTCTAAGAGGCTCCGTTAAGGAAAAAATGACTTTATGAGCTGGATGGAATTTCTGTGTATTTTCTATTCTATTAGGGTGTCCTGCATAAAGGATTTCGCCTGCGAAGCATATAACTCTTGCGAACATATCTAAATACTGGTCTGAAGAAGACATACCTTGAATTTTTTAGAAAAAAATTGGCTAAAAATGGAAACTACAAGTAATCAAAATGTTCAACTCAAACAAAGTTGTAGCTATTCTATATCAATATTTTGTGTTATGTAAGGTTTCTCAGATGTTTAAAGACCTTCATTAGTATACTTGTGTCTAGAAATGTGACATTTAAGGACAAAATTTGGCATTTTTAATCATTTTCGCTTTCAGCATTAACATATAGTTCCTTATATCTCGAGTTTAATGCTGCCTGGTTGGTGCATTTTTGATTAAATCTGTTCTTGTGCATGTGTTCTTCCATTTAAGGTATAGAAAATGTATAGTGGACAACCAATGTGCGTATGAGAGCTTTCAGATCTCCCCTACCCCATTTATTATGGAAAATTACCGAAAAATATGAAAAAATAAAATAACTTGAAATTATAAACTTTAACAAAGTTGTAGCTATTCTAGGTCAATATTATATGTTATCTAATGTTTTTAAGATTTTTCAGAACTTTTATTGGTATTCAAGTGGCTAGAAATGAGACATTTAAGGACAAAACTTGGCATTTTTTTAATCATTTTCGCTTTCAGCAGTAATATATAGTTCCTCATATCTTGAGTTTTATGCTGTCTGATTGTTGCATTTTCAATCAGATCTGTTCTTGTACATGTCTTCTTCCATTTAAGGTATAGAAAATGTATAGTAGACAAACAATGTTCATATTAGAGCTTTCAGATCTCCCCTACCCCATCAATTATGGAAAATAAATGAGAAATATGAAAAAATAAAATAACTTAAAATTATAGACTTTCATAAAGTTGTAGCTATTCTATATCAATATTTTGTGTTATTTAATGTTTTTAAGATTTTTCAGAACTTTTATTAGTATTCAAGTGGCTAGAAATGAGACATTTAAGGACAAAACTTGGCATTTTTTAATCAATGCTGCTTTCAGCAGTAACATATAGATCCTCATATCTTGAGTTTTATGCTGACTGGTTGATGCATTCTTGATTAAATCTGTTCTTGTACATGTCTTATTCCATTTAAGGTATTGAAAATGTATAGTGGACAAACAATGTTCATATTAGAGCTTTCAAATCTCCCCTACCCCATTTATTAGGGAAGATGACTGGAAAATATAAAAAAAATAACTTCAAACTACCAGTATAAACTTTAACAAAGATGTAGCTATTCTTTTTGTGTTATTGATAGCTATAATTAATGTTTCAGGACCTTCATTAGTATACTAGTACCCTTTGCATTCGTTTGACTTCACTTCTTAAAAGAGAGCTTCGTCTACACTCTTTCAAACTAAAATAAACCTGTGAACTCACCGCGCCAATCAGTATTCATCTGCCAAATTTGACCGACGTTCTATATATGGTCATTCTTTCTGACGTCATCGTTGAGCCCGGAATTGACCAATGACATGCACATATTTAATTAGAACGCATTTGGCGTATGTTTCTTCAAGCTCGCTGATTGGTGGAAGAAAGGTCAGCGCGTAGGTCAAAAGTGATTTATTACCCAAACTTTCACCGGTACCCGTC